GGAGGAAACCAACAATATAGTCTAGTTTCAGGCAGAAAAGATCTTCCTGGCTGTCACACACTCATCAGTAAACCATTTGTTTATACGCTATTATTATTTATGATAAATGGAGTGTGCTCTAAACCCAAGGCCGGAAGAAGCTGTGCAGCTGGAATAAGATGCTCCTCAGATGGCTGCTCTGGGGAGACTGAAATGTTTTTGCAGAGCTAATTGCCTCATAAATTGGTTTTATTCTCCTAGCTGAGGCTAATGTCTTCTTTTAAAGTTAATAAAAAGAACTCAATTTGCTGATTGCTCTGGACTGGTACTAGCAAAAAGAGCTGTTCAGGGACTCTGGAAGGGCCCAGACAATTCCTCAAAGCCATTGCAGCTTGGTTGCTAAGTGGTGACAAGCAAGGTGTTCCCTATCTGCTATTTAATCCATTTTTCAGTGATGCTGTCACATTGGGCACCTTGGGTATCCCCAAAAACATTGATGGGGAGAGATTATAATTGACAGCCTCCTGTTGACAGCCTCCTGTAGCAGACCCTAGGGCTCAGGAATTGAAAGAACAGAGCAAATGTTTATGCCAAAAGAGCACGTTATCAGCAAGCATGATATGAGCTACAGTGTCAGAGCAGCGCTCAGACCCAGACCAGCCTCACGCACTTCAGTGCACAGTATCAGGGCCACCTCATACCCACCCCATTCCATGGGTCAGAGCCACCAGCTCACTGGCACACCACTTACAAGTGCATCCCTCCAGAGATCAAACTCAGAGCAACTCTGCAAAGGTTTATCAAATGGGGCCTGGAGAATTACACATAAAACTGGTGCACATTGACAGCCCCCATGCACAGGCAGGTGCTGTGTCCTGTCCCACCAGCCGTCACTCACAGCTAGAGCCTGGGAGCAAGTGGAAGAGCACCAGCATGTACTTTTGTGCCCTGGTCAGGTAAGATATCAGCTATTCCCAGCTGGTGATTCTTACAACACAAACTCCCTGCCCTTCCAGTCATGAAGTAAAGGAGCTCCCTATCCAACACATACCATGTGTGGTGGCTGGAGGCTCCACGCAATCATTGCAGCACACTTACACCAGCTGCAGCCATCACACATAGGGGAGCTCTTCCATAACCTGAGATAATCAAGAAGGTGACAAACCTACAGCTTCTTACATGGACAAAAAATTTCTCAGGAGTTAAGAGGGGACTGACTCCAGGAAGAAAACCTTAGCAGATATCTAAGGAAACTGCTTAAAACTCGGTGCCTCTCCACCCCCCAAGCACTGAAAGGATCAAGTCCTCTGCTAGTGCTGAGCACAGGGAATTCAGCTCTGATGCTCAGCTTAATTAAATAGAAATATGAAGTAAGAAAGAAAGGCTAATTAGATAGAAATGCAGAGTTACAGGATGTGAATGCTGATTAACCTAATAATAGACAATAATGCTGTTGAAGGAAGTTAAATGGATTGTTTAACGGATGGAATGATCTATAGTATGTAATATATAAAGTACTTAACAGTAAACATTTAATTACCAACTTCAATGGCATTTTTCTTCACCATATGGAGAAAAAGTGCTTCATAAAAGAGTTACTGGATGGGAGTAATTTACAGTCCTGCAAAAACATCTGTATCATACGGGAAAGAGCAACAATTCCTCAGACACAGCAGAATGCCTGAGACACAGTGAGCAATGCTGGGAGCTGCCAGATAGAGTAGAGCAAAGCAAATCAAATGCCTGTATCCCTGATCTGGTACATCACCACCTCTGTCGGGCAGGACCCATGGCTTTCCTGTGCCTCCCACAGGAAAGAGGACTTAGGAGGCAGAAGACAAACATGACACTTCACACGATGGCTCCAGGTGAAACTTGCTGAGGATTTAGGAAGGTGGTCACTTGTCACAGAGGAGCAAAACCACCCTCTGGTGTGCATTATAGGGAAAGTTCTTAGAGGGCTGAAAGCATCTCTGGTTAATGTGATCATCAAGTGCAAAGCCATGGCCCAGCCACTAACACACCCTGTTCCCAGCACGGATGCTCTCAGTTTGAGCTTTCCTCAGATTTCCTCAGAGGGGCCAGGCAGGAGTCTGGCATACGGAAGGTGTTTTTCAGACATTCGGGATGTTTTGTACTGAGGTAAGGCGCTCACAGATGTCTCGAGTGCCTCCATGTGGCCAGCTCACACCTAACCACAACATCACCTTCCACAGCAAATACAGCACTTTGTGCAAAATCAATAGTCATGTCTCTCCTGGAAGCCTTTAATAGAGATGTACAGAGGCAATCCTGGACATTAGAGAGGGAAAGTCACTCCAGGAGGCTCTCAGGGGTCTCTGAATTACAGTGTGTGGCACAGGAGTTACTGAATATGCTTGACTTCTGCTACAGTAGCGAACATTGTGACAGTTACAGAATGTGCCCTAAAGGGGAACAGGATCCCCTTTGGGACACAGAACAACAGGCTTGCACTTCTTACTAGCACAGCAGCAGTCCTAGTACTATCACATTAATTTCATACTTTGGGCTGTGTCACGCTGCTCAAACAATGTGAACTTGTGCAATTTAATTTTAATATGTTGCACTCCTGCTAGAGCTTTACTTTCTCCTACCTTATCGCAAACCAGCTGGGACAGAGGTGATGACCTGCACTTGGTGGAGCTCAACCCCCTCCCTGGCAGGGTCACCTCTGGAGTGGATTGCTTCCTCTTCACTTGGATTTCAAAAAGCAGCCTTGCTTGCATGTCCTCCTTACTGCATGGCTCCGTCATCCCCCCATGCCTGATGCAGCATAGATGGTACCTAAATTTCTATATATTAATTCATGAATAAGTGCTGAGACAAGCAGAGTACATATGGAGAAGTCAGCCTCAGTAAAAGGGAGCATTTCAAAATGCAGACAAGAAGTGAGTTACCAGCAGTGTTAGGAAAAGGAAAGCTGATATTAGATTAGGCCCCTGCCAGAGAGTTGGCTACCTGACTCCGATAACTAATAAGTCCCCTTACAGATCTATTCCTTCATCTATTCCCCAGAAAAAGCGATCTCACCAAATACCTACAAGCAGTACATCAGAACAGCTCACAGATTCTGCCCATTGCTCCTGGTAGGGGGCTGCGCCTTGCACGGTGAGAAGTGATGCCTACTCCATTACCTGCACCACGGGGCCAAGGGGAGCAGGCTGGCCATTAACTGCTTGTGATGAGCTAATTAATCATGGGCATTTGCTGAATTCCTGTTCCAGCACCATTATTAATGGCTCTGTGGATTGGGCCGCATAGCAGACGGGCAGCAGAGGCTCCTCCACCTGCTGAAGCAGCAATCCTGCTCTGCTGAGGGCATCGGCTTCACCCACCTAGCAAACTGGAGAAATTGCCAAGAGCTGCCCCAAACTCCCATCTCCTCCCCAGGGTTGTAGAATGACTCCTAGCTCCACTTGGGCTCAAACTCCCCACCACAGTGTCTTCCCAGGTGGCACAGGCTGCCACCGAAGGACAGCCCTGCTACCCAACCACTCCCTCCATGTGGGGATGTCATGGAGCGACTGACACCAGTCACCACCAGTCCTCTACAGCACATAATGCCCTGGCTTCCACCTTGCCCGATCCCAAGCACCCTGGCCTCACCTGGTGCCACATGTGTATTCTCCATCTTAGAGACTTCCTTCTCCAGCTGTGTTCCTGTTCTTCTCTCAATGTGGTGAGGGTTTTCAAGGTTGGACCCAGGGAACCATGAACCTAATGCTGTTCCAGATGTGCTGCCAGGGTTTATGAGGCCACAGCCTGCACATAGCCAATGAGACCAAGTGCTGCTTCTTTGGAGCAAGAAAACATCACTGGGAATGAATTATGCAGCTGAGCAGAGGTGGCTGACAATGAACTGTTCACTGCTTCCCCTTGGCCGGCCGTCTTCTCCCTTCCCCTGTTTCCTTTGTATTTCTGGGTGATGGGAATGAAACTGTATGAGGAAGGGCAAACAGAAGGCATGCACAGAGCCTCCATGCCTCCCGGTCTCACTCTTGCCCTGCGAGCTTCCAGTCATAGCAGAGCTGGCCCAGCTCAGCCTTCTAGGAGTCATCATGCCACGCTAAGGCAGAGCCCGAGTCACCAACTGCAGTGATAGTTTCAGTGGCACAGCCTGCCTCTTCCCCTCTGCCACAAGACTTGATTCAGGTCCATTCCAGTGATATAGAGGTGAGAGGGTAAAAGGCACTAAGTGAAGAAATTATGTGAGCACAGCCTGGTCAGCTCCCCGTGCTGGCTCTGAGGCTTGAGCACCTGCATGCTAAAGCTAAAGTGGACTCTGGCAGTCCATTCATCAAAATGCTAATTGGCACTGATTTCCATCAGATCCTAGTCTAGCCTTTGGCCAGAACTTGCTATTTACACACGTCTCCTGTGCAGCTATGCCAAGCCCGTCTAGAATGAGGCATCCAAGGGATTGGCCCCAAACAGCCAGCTATGAACTGTGAACCCCTCTAATCCTGTCCCTCTTAAGTCCCAGATCACTGTAGTGAAAGGGCACCAACACCCCCTTTCTACTCCATTAGAGAGCAGATCCCAAAGCCAGCCTGGGAAGAGAGACCAGGTGTGGCAACAGGCCAGAGGGAACTGGGAGAAGTTTGGCCAGATGGGGTAGAGTGCCCTTGTGGTGTCATATTCACAACAGACTTGCCTTAGAGAATGAAGGTCACATTATTTAGGGGTTAGTAGCTATTAAAAAGCAAAGATCTCAAATCCTTCTCTACAATGCATTTGTTTGGTGTCTGGTCCTCACAATCAACTGGAACAAAGATGGCTACTAGAAGAGTTTATTCTACTGTAGTAGTCATTCAGGGAAGGACTAGCATTGCCCTCTCCATCCCATGTGTTTGTAAGAACTCCCAGTGTTAAAGGTGCCTGGACACTAAACCTCTTTGAAGCTACTCACCTCTTTGAGGAGAAAAATTCCTGAATTGTTTCGCCTTCTTAACATAAAGGTAGGGAAAAATAAGAGAGAGAGAAACGGACACAGGACTTATGATGACACAAATTATATTTCTGAACATCGCCAAGAAACAAGATGGGACAAATTCATCTAGCACTTGTCACTGGAACTGGGCATCACAGCTCTGAATACAATGGGAATTGTTCAGCTTTGTTTAAACAAAACAAAAATTAAAATAATAAAAAAAACCACTCAACCTCCAAACATTTCTCAGGTCATTGTGATTAAACTCAGATACTGAATAAACAGAAGGAAAAGAGATTGCTAATACATTGCCAAAGTAGTTCCCATTTAATTCAGTTAAAGAGAAGCAATAAGCCCAGGACTGCATCTGGCAAGTTTCAAGTAGGGACCTTCTACATGAAACGCAGACTAGGGTCAGGATTAGCAGAATATGCTGCAAAAACAGGTGAAGGAATTATAGCCATAGGACACATCAAAGTACAAGCTCATACAGACCAGTCTTCACAGCTGTAGCTTGTCCATTTAGTTTCATAAGCAAAATTTCCAAAAGGACCTTCTAATTCTTAGACCTCATGCATCAGCTACAGACCTGATGCTTCATGAAGACTGGTGGTACAATCTACCTCTGGGGACCACAGGGACCCTTTCCATCAGGAGTCTGCTATGCAGAAATGTCTGAACCAGAGCATGCATGCAGAGAGGTGTCTGCACCAGTACCCAGGTGGCAAGGAATAGCTTCCCTTTTGGCAGCCCAGAGACAAAAAGCTGTTGCTTGTTTTCCTGATATCAGCACTATAAAGCTGCATTAGGGCATAGGGTTTGCTGACGGACACATTTGTGCATCTTCTAGCTTTGCACTTTTTGCTGATGGGACATGCCCTATGCTGCCATCATCCTCAAAGAGCATGGGAGAGGCTGGGAAGTGGGAGGAGCTGGAGAGTGGGGCCAGATGATAAAAACACACAGGCTACTGAGATCAGAGGCTACTGTGTTAGATGTACACAGGCTTGTCTGTGGAAGATCTGTAGGTCTTCCTAGAAAGGGCTGAGAGACACCTCTGCATCCTCCACCAAAGAACATTCCCTGTTTTGGGGCACTGACTGCACAGCACCCAATACATTTTCAACACTAGCAGAGCATTCAGTGTGTCTAACACAAAGCAGGAAAGAGGAAACTCTAAACTCAGTGCCCTTGGCAGGTGAAAGGCAATTGTTATCATATTGACCATGCACATCTGTATTTGTATTTTGTTCTTAGCCCTAAATAAAGAGTTTCTGGACTTTCCTGGAACTAAGAGGTGAGGCAGTCAGTACATCAATCCAAAATGAAAAGATAATGGATCATATCTCCATCCTCTCCCAGCATTTCCTTAGCCTTGGGCCTTTTGCCTCCGAGACTGCTGCAAAACTCAATTGAGCTGACATCCCAATTCCAGGCAGAATATGGAGCCCTCACTCCTGCTTCAGCTCCCCTTTGACTTGGGGGTGTCTGCCTTGGCCACAGTCTTTGGATAGTGGGGCAGGAAAGGGTTCTGCAATTGTGAACAAAGCTTCAAGGACTGTGGCAAACAAATCATACAAAGCAACACCAGCTCTGAGCAGCTGGAATGAACCTGCACAACCCCTTTTACTGCATCACCTTCACAGCCAAGAAACACAAAGGTGATAAAAACAGACAGCTGAAGAATGCCCATGGAAAACAGCAGTATATGCAGGAGTCTCACCTGGAACACCACATTCATCTTTATCCTGGGACCTTCCTTAATTCTATCTAATAAAGATATACTACTGACACTGCTAAGACAGAAAAAGGGAGAAAAAGCAATGCCTTATTTCTTTCTTATCAGTTGGGGCAAATGATAATTCCCACTGCACAACAGGAATAGGCTCAAACTGGAGTAGTTTCATAAATCTATAGTCATAAATCTGTGACCAAACTAAGACCAGAGCAAGAATGTTTTTCTAAGCCAGGCTACAAAACCAGTCAATGGCATGGGATGAGAGATGCTTTTATTGTTCACCCAGTAAAACAATCAAGTGGAAGATTATTAAATGGGGAAACAGCAGCTTTGCTGGGCCAGATACCAGGTATTCCCTGAAATGTATCCAGTGTGCCTGTCAGTGGAGCAGAACTGGGCAATAGGCTTCTTTGGGTTCTCTTCAGTGGATAATGTATTCGCAAAAAATACAGTTTAGGATTAACTGTAATCAGTCATCAGATTAAGAAGAAAGGCAAAGGTAAAAAGACTACTAACATTAAAACATTTTCTTTCAGCATTTTCAGAACAGGTTTCACATTTTTGCTTCAAAGCAATTTGTTACAGCCCAAGACACAACATGCAACCTTAGAAATGAATGTTTCATTTTGGCATGAAAGGATTTGTTTGTTTGTTTTAATTTTTCCCTTTTTCATTCCACTGAGAAAATGGGGGAAAAAAATTGTCTCAGGCCACCCTTACAACTTTTTTCCTCAGATTTTTCAGTTCAGCCCGCAAACTGAAAAACCACTGTGGGCACAGCCTACTTGGGAGTTTACTTGTCCCTCTTTCTATTTGAATCAGACCTAAGCCAAAGAAGATGGGAAATTCATTTCATCAGGTAATACCAACCAGAACCAAGGTATTCAGGAGATGTAAAAATACTGAAAATGGGAGGAGTCATGGCTGTTTACAGGAGGCTGAACATGACCCAGGAGATAGATCTCCTGTTTCCAAAAAACATTGCCATCTACAAGCTTACTGCTATGCCATCCTACTCTCACATAAGGCAATTTATAAACTGTGGGTCTGATCCTGCATTTTCAGAATCTGACTGAGATGTGCTGACACCACTTATCTGTGAGCAATGCAAGATCCAGGTAACCCACCCTAACCTGCTCTAAACAAGGGAGTTTGGGGCTTGGGGTTTTTGGGTTGGGGGAAGCAAATGGAGAGAGGCACAACACCCTCCCCATTGGCAATATTGGAGCATCACTCGTGACCTGAAAACAACATCCCTTTTTCGCAGAATGCTACCACTTCTGCAGGGACAATACAGTACTGGATAGTTACTTTGCAAGCTCAGTAAAATGAAAAGGCCTTACAAGGATCTTTGTTGGGACAGTCATCTGGTTTAAACACAGCAGAGGACAACAACAGCTAAAAAACCCCACAATAAATTAGGTATCAGCACAGCTTTCTAAATGGTCTAGAACACTTACTACAAGACAAAAATCACAGCTCTGGTACTTAGAATCTTGTCTTTCTTTTAAAAAATCGAAAGCTATTATCCACAGGTTTTGCATAAAAATAAACATTTTAAGCTGACAGCATTATGTTAATTGGATCAACCCGCTTTTTAATATATATATATTTCTATGAATATTTAAATGTATATTTTATATGAATAATCTTCAAAGGAGTAATGGGAGTCACAATGCATAAAAATAGATATTTTGGAAAAAAAAAGAGTAATAATAAAGACAATCCTGATGAAAAAAAAATATATATATCAAACAGGGCAGTATTCTAAAGTAACAGCTCACCATACTACAACTTGTGGAGTCCAGTCCTTCTGTATTGTGAGCAGTTACTCCTAAATATGATTGGGCTTTCTAACAGTGATGTAAAATGAATTCCTGCACATTTAGTAAAAAAAAAAAAAAAAAAGAAAAAAAAGAAAAAAGGAGACGGGATTTCGGTATGTAGAACAGATTTGATATCTATTAATTGCTGTAAATAGCTAGCATGGATCATCTTTCAAACTGAAAGCAGGAGGAACTCCAACAATTCATGCATTTATAAGAATATATTTGCTAATCAAAATCAGATCAGTCCCTCTGAACTAATTGTTTTTAAAAAACACAATTTTTGTCCTACAATGTTTTTTCTGTTGTTCTATGAGTAATCCAAACAGACTGGAAAAGGTGGGCTTTTCAGTAGTCTTTGTCAGCATTTTGTGCAGCTTTGACAAAAGCCAACTCCTAACAGTTCAGAAGATAATTTCAGAGTAATCCTGTCCCTTTGCAGCAGGAGGTAACCTCACTGTTAAAAATCCCTCAGGGCAAAACAATCATGGGGCAAGAGGGGAAGCCATAAAAAATTAAAATAGCCTGACTTGCTTGCCAGCTGCATCAGTATTCAAGTAAAGTTTAAAGTACCTTTGTGGGACTTTAGAGTCTTGGAGAGTCAGACCGGCTTATTTTAACAAGTGTAATATGCACTTAGAAATAGCCTTGTCATCTGCTTGTCTAAACTCAAAAAACAAAACTCAAAAACAAACAGAAGCAAAGGAAAGGTAGAGGAAAGGACTCAGCATCAGTATTAGACTGCGGAGTGTCTCCTTGACACTGACACTTTTATATTCGTGCCTTCCTTTCTAATGCATTAAAACATCCTGAAGTCACGCAGCCATTTTAAACGAGCATTTCAAGAGTCCAGTTTTTATAGAGGTTAACTTGATCATCAGCACAGCACTGGAGAAAGCTGATCTAATGATATTTCACTTACAGAACTCTTCAAAGGAAAATAAGTAATACAATTCCACAAAAAACAATGCCAATGAAAAACACAGAAAGCAAGTTGTTTTTAACTCGGTGTTTTTTCTGAGATATTCTTACAGGAAAAAAAATAATTCTTCCCTTAAGTCTTTCTTTAAAAGCAAATTTTCTAACCAGTAGATTTTAGAGCTATCTTCCATCTACATGAATCTAAGCTTTTCTGAAATCACCTACAGGGTTGGGGAGGAGGGCCAGAGGATTCCCTCTCCTAAATTTCACAGACATCCAAATAGCATGTTTGTTTTTCCTTGCTTCTCTTCTTGAATTTGTCCATTCCCCTTAGGATTTCACAGGCCAACACTACTGTGAGAATTTAAGTGTCTGCATTTGAAAGAACTTTGGACTGAGCACAGCTTCACACATTTCACCTTCTTCATGCCCTTTCCATGTAGTTTCTTCTGTCTTTACATATACGAAAATCACAGTTTGTGTAACATTGTTTTAAAGGAAGAAAATAAAATACACGCGCACACATACATTGTATTGGTGAACACTATACACTAAGTATTTTCTTCAACAGCATAACAGAAAGTCTGGCCTACTGTAGGTTGAACATGTAGGGAAGGCTGAATTTTTATGGTTGCCATGCAAGTCACCTTCAAGACAAAACAGATTAACCCAGCCAAGAGCAAATGCACCTTCTACTCAAGCTGTTAGACAAATACTGCCTTTCCAGGAATCAGGCTGACATCTCACCAATTCAGTCAATGCAGTATTTAGAGAACCACACTGAGTTGCTTCTGCATCAGTCCTTTGAATTCAAATGCTGTTTAAACCAAAGGGGAAAGAGGGTATCTGAATTGCCTTATTATTATTAATATGTGTATATTTCAATAACACTTTGAATTTCAATTTACTTCTGAAACCTTGCCCTTTGAGAAGAACACACCCTTTAAGCTGACTTTTTTCAGGCTTCTGATCCTTTAAAATTCTCTCTTCTTTTCCTTCTGTTGTTCTTTTTCAATTATCTATCAGAAAACTTGCTTTCTTCCAGCAGAAATGCAGCTGGTGGACTTGAGCTTTCACTGCACCCGTTCTGTGAAATTCTCTGGGAAAACCCCTCGGCATTGGTCAAGTTCCTTATGCTGGATCCAGTCAGACTCCTTCACACCCATCAGCCATCCTTCATCCTGGAGGAGAAGACAGAAATCAGGTGCTAAGGGATAGATGTGAGCAGGGATTTTTGTTACAGAGTGCAGGCCAAGGAGGTGTCAAGGCATTATCAAAGCCATGCTTGTATTTGGCTTGGAGACAATCCAGGAGGAGGATGGGGAAGAAGGAAAAAATGCATTTGTTCCCTTTTAAATGGAGAGAATGCTCCATCCCACCAGAGCTCCAATTTGACCCAGACTGTGCAGACACTGTGAAACTGTAAAGAATGAAGTGTAACAGAAATATGTTGTAATTTACACCCACTGAAGCAGGAGAAATTCTGCCAAAAGAGACCCTAGAGCTACAGGATGGGAATCACCTATCTCACCTTTCACCATCTAAATATGAGGGGTCCAGCATTTTCCATAGTCATAAAAGTGACAGACACATCCAGAGTGTAATTCAACCCATTCATCTTGGGCACAGGTACCTGGAAAGGATGAATGAGTCCCTGGAGATGCTCATCCCCTGCTCCAGTCAGAGCATCTGATGACTGGCATTTTAGAGCTGGTACAGGCAAAATAAGTCTTGTTTGCTATGCTGAAATTCTGATCTATGAGAATTGGGAGCTGAGAAGCTCAATTCATCTTCCCAAAACTCGGGAGTCTGTTGGGCTTGATGCAGAGTGAGGTCAGCAAAACTCTCAAACTTTGGCTACACACTCAAGGTCTCTCTGAAGGGTCTTGCCTAGCCACCAACCTATACATCTATAAACACAGATGAATTTTCACTGAGGCAAATGGAGTCCTGCTTGGCAGAATCCACTCATGAGGAGAACCAGACTTTTCACCTTCTGCCTGTAGGCTGTCTACCACTGAGATTTCTGCTCCATCCTAGGCATGTGAGGAAGACAAGATATTCAAGGTAGGAAGGCTGCACTGCTTGCAGCTCAGGTGTGCAACCACCCTATTCTCCACATGCCTTGGAGCTGCCACCATGGAAGCACCCCTTCAGCATGCAAATGTACCCTCTCATGTGAGCCATTTGCAGTGGGGTAGCCTATGGGTTAAGGGTGCAGCATGAGGCAAAAGAGCTGCATAGCTCTAGGTGTCTGCAAGCTCACTTAGCCCTTGCTGCTGCCTTAGATTTGAACATTCAGGAGATGTCATGAGAATGGCAGGAGATGGGAGCCCATCTGCAGCAGCCAGCTGCAGGGGCTGTGGGAGGATTGACATGCCATAAATCAGGAATACAAACAACTAGGCAGAAGACATTGGGCCCAAGTGTCTGGAAGGCAGCTTCCAGCTCACAGCACGTCAAGCACAAAAGCTCATCCATTTGCACATAAGCGTCTGTGCCATACAGCATGCAGCACTCCCACCTCATCCTGCTACCAAGGGTCTCCTCAGCTGTAGGGATTAGACACAAGGACCCAGACTGAGCCCTGACAATTTTAAACCATGCCACTTAAGTGCCAGCTTAGAAGCACTGCTGCCCTCAACCCTTTCTTCTATCAAGAGAGATGAATCCAGGCTTGGATGACATATCCACAAACTGATACCTAAGCTGCAAGATGGGGACATGGACCACAGTCTGTCATCCTAAGTTTCCTCCACTCACGTGCATAGTTCATGCACATGTTAACAGCCAGCATTTTCTGGCTGGGGATGGTTGAGGTTAGCTGTAGCACAGGATGCACTGTAGAAGGGTTAAGGGGCTTCAGTGCAGCTACAGTGTTATGTTAGCAACACTCAGAGCTCACCCTCTGCAGCTTGGAGAGTCTCGAGTTCATGGCTGTTGCACCCACATCCAGCTAGAGTGCAAACACAGGGCGTTGAAAAACTGCTCCACAAACGCCAACTCCTACCACAGAAACTAGGGAAGCTGTCAGGCTTTTCCCCATCCAGAAAGCTTTCTGAGAAAGAAATGCTCAGAAATGCTTTTGCAGGGCAGTTCCACTCAGTGAAGAGTCTTGTCTCCAGAAGGAATCACTGTGTGTTCCCCAAAGAGCCCTTCCCCCCTAGCTCTGTGGGAACTGTTGGCAGATTATAGCTCCATTTCACAGGTATCAGCATGATCTGCCTCCATAATTCACAAAGCCAACAGATGATCCACATCTTCTGAGGTAGTGAACTACCTCACCTTCCCTTTATCCCTTGTGGAATCCAGACCTTGTCTGGACTTGACCAAACCCAAAGAGCTGATGACTGCTGAATCAGTTTGGAGAATTTGTTTCTTTTCCAAACAAAAATCTGGAGATGTGAGCATGAATTTTATAAAATCACCATCTCTCTCAGTGGAAGTAGTAAAGCTGCTGCAGATTATCAGCTGGGTCCCCCTCAAACACAGCAAGTGAGGAGGACTTAGTCAAAGCTTCCAGAAACTCAAAGAAAAACATGGCCAATTAAATTCAGGTTGAAGATGGGCAGCAAGACTGTTCTCCAGGGCTGAGAGACCTGCACCAGCCTTTGATTCTGCTGCCATCTCCTGACCAAACACAGTCGTTTGTAAACAGCCATTGCTATGGTGAAGTATAAGCCATCATCCACCGCCAGCTGCTTTCTTGGAGCTCCAACATTTCTCAAAACAGGAGAAAACATCATCATAAAGTGTGGATCACTCCTTTGAATGCTACAGTCTGCACTTTAGTGATCACAGGGAATGTGCATCAATTTAAGGGGCAGTCAGGAGGCAAAATATGGGCTCTGTTGGGCTCCCTGATCAAGAGAGCCATAGTATTGGCTCAAATGTTCTGACAGGGACAGGAACCCACTGCTACTCCATATGCTTTAGGTAAGATAATGTCTCTACTTTCCAATAACAAGCAGAGTCCTCCCCTTTGTTGCAGGAAGCCAATCTCAAGCTCAAGGACAACCGGTTCTCTTGCCAGCTCCCAGCCACAAACTAATGGCTCTGCATCCAGCCAGCCGACTGTTAGTGAATAAAGAAGCAGCTCTAGAAACCCCATTGGCTCCACATGGGCCAGGCTCACACCCCATCTTCCCTACTCACCTGCTCCTCAGGGTTCTCAAATGGAATCACAAGCACCACATCCCCGGCCTTCAGCTGCAGCTCATCACTGTCGGTGGCGGTGTAATCGTGCATGGCCTGGACCTACAGGGAGAGGAGAAGTGGATGAGCCCAACCTTCTCTCACCCAGCTCCGTAACAGGTGACAAGGCTTTCCTCTTCATTGATTCACCGGATGATTCAGGTTGGAAAGCACATTTCGAGGCCATCTGATCCAACCTTATGCTTAATGTAGGGTAAGCTTTGATCATAAATGTCACATCCAGGGGAATAACTGCTTCCCTTAATTTAATGACTACAGGCTTGTTCATACAGCCTGGAATGCAGCTCTCCTTGGACACAGCAGCATCCTGGTGAGTCTTATGCAACTTGTTACGTATCGGCACCTCCCTGTCCTTTAGGAGGGTTGAATTCTCATGGTGTGGGCACAAAAACCTCACAGGGTAGAAAGCCTGTGTCCACTTGAATGGTGCCCTGTATTCTTTCTGCAGCTGGACTGCAAGACTATTAGAGATCATAGCTTCCCACCTCTGTCACAGCAAGCAGGGAGAAGAAATGTAGGAAAGAGTATTAGTTTGGATGATGATATCCATGTTTTCTCTTTGGTATTCAGCCTAATGCCTTTCAACATCTGTGTTACAGCTTTTCTACTTCAAACCACAGCTCTCCACTTTGAGCACTACAGCCATAATACTACCTGTAACCAGCCTAAATGTTATGAGCCTCCTATTGTTCATCGGCTTTTGCCATTCTTCTGATTTTAGTAGAATCCCAGAAAAAAAACCAGTGGACATGACTAAAGCAGAAAAAAGCATTTCTAGAGCAGGAGGCTGTCATTTCTCACTTTTCAGGGCATGATGCACCTATGCTGTCTTCCTGCCATATTGCATTATGCACATTACATTTGTGGCCTATCCTCATCCAGAATCACTCCTTCCTCCACACCTATGAAAAAAGCTGCAAGTGATCTTCGGCGTATTCAGAACATCCACCCAACTTCCCTTCCTACTCCTTTATTTTTCTCTGTTCATCCTGGCTTTCTCATTTCTCCAAACACAGTCCTCTGTTTCTTCTGGTGTTTCCAACTCTTCTCCAATTACCACTTGCACCAAAGCTTAATTTTTCAGCTGGGAGCACAACTTTTTATTCACTATCCAGAGTCTGTGACTGACACTACAACACCACCAAGACAAAAACAACTGCAGCAGAGAGAAGGGGTTTTTCTACACAGCACAGTAACACCTTTAGATGCTGATGCTCTTACCAGTCCTTTGAAACATTTGGAACTGCATGAAGCTGCACTGAGGAAGGTGTATCTCTCCTTCAACTTCCTTTCTGCCTTTTAATGTGGCATAGCTCATGGACATGCTGAGTGAAAGCAACTAATTCATTACAGGAAAGAAAAGATAATCACCAGGAACTCAATGCCCCACTGCCACATACTCACCTTGAACAGAAATCCTGGGGGCATGTCAGCTCTTTCAGATGAAGCACCTGCTTCCACAGCGCCATTGACAGTCGCAGGGAAAGTTTCCACAACAACAGCAGGCAGAGAGGTCTGGTAGGCAGTGGCAGCCAAGGAAGAAAAAAAGCCATTGAGAAAAAAGAATCCAAAACTGAAGCTCCAAGTCCATCCTGGAGGATCCACATCCCAACCATCCCATGGCTTCAGTGGGTTTTCCCCGCACACCAGACAGTGACAAAAAGACCCCAAAGGACAGCAGAGGCAGTAGTGAGAAAGCAGGACTGGTGACTGCTGTCTTCCTCTGCCTAAGACTGCAGAAAGGCAGAGACGATTTATAGTTTTTCTGGGACCATAATGCCCAGCATTTCCCATTTGCTGTGGTCACAATGCATTCTTACAGAGCCCTCGTGGAACAGACAACTCACATGCAACAGCCTATAAGAACCAAGCTGCCATGAGTTGGGACCTACTCCAGTCCCCTAAAAACATGGCAGTGTCACCAAAAAAAAGAGGAAGCCTGGATATTCAGGGGACATAGGCAGAGCCCAGAGGACAGGGCAGGTAAAGTAAATGGCAAGCAAGGGGGAATCCAGCAGACAACACAAGCCTAGGACAGCATGGGCTGTGGACTGGTTTCACAGGATGGGTGAAGGGACAATTCTTTTAGTGAACCTTCCAGCAGAACTTCTCCCTAAGCACTGCACAGATAAAATGCAACAACTAAGCCTCTGAACAAGAGCATTGTAACTCCTCAGGGGGCAGGGATGTGCTTTTCCAAGCTATGCAGCTCTTTTCCCAACCCAGTCTCCCACATCTTCTGTATATCAAAGGGATGTGATGGAGAAAAGGGACTGCTGTCCCTTGAGGTATTTACCGATCCTGAGTCAGCTTCAGTTTTAGATGCTTCAGCTCCAGCTGCTGCTTCTGATCCAGCTGCTTCAGCTCCTGCATGGGCTGCTTCTGCAGGCTGCAATACAAACGTTGTCCCGGTGGGACGTTATTCTCATTCCAGCTACATGTGTGAGCAGCAACGTGCAGCCAGCCTGCCCAAGTGCTGTGCTGCTGCCACCTGCTGCAAACAGGCCATACACTGCAGGCTCTGGCTATGTTTCTTCCTCCCTCTTTCTCTGCAACCCACAGAAATCACCACATAGCCTGAATTGTCTAAATTCCCTCACTCCAGGCTCACAGCAGGAAATCAGTGAAACTCCAGAAATTTCGTGCATCTCTTTCTTTTCCCTATTTAAACTGCAGACCTACTTTATGCAGTATCTACCATTACATCTAGATTGCCCACTTGTACGTGAATACAAGTTCTCTTGCATGCTAAAGTACAAGGATCTCTCAATAAGCTACTTCCAAGGATACAATTACAGAATATTTAAGCACTTGCCACCTCCCAGAAACAGAAGAGCATGGTAGTAATGTGTTCAGATTTGGAACTTAGTCTGGACCCAGCATCAACATGACATTAACTCTGTTTTAACACAAAACTAAAGATATTCATTTGCCCCTCCCAGAAATTGCAGCAATGCAGGAAGTATGTTGCATCTGGTAGCATCAATGCTGTAGATCATCCCACTGGGAGATGGGCCAGGCAGCATCTGGGAAGACTCCCAAGATTTGCCATTTTTAATACATGGGAATAACCAGCTTTAGTATGCCTACATGCCTCATACATTTGATAAACATGTTGTCCTGGTTCAGCTGGGATACAGGTTATTTTCTTCCTAATAGCTGGTACAGGGACATGTTTTGAATTAGGTTGAGAGTAGAGTTGATAACCCACTGACGTTTTAGTTATTGCTGACCAGTGCCTACACTATGTCAAGGACTTTTCAGCTTCTCATGATGCCCTGACAGTGAGGAGCCTGCGGGGCACAAGAAGCTGGGAGGAGACAAAGCCAGGACAGCTGACCCAAACTGGCTGAAGGGATATTCCATATCACATCTCATCATGCTCAGTTTGTAAACTAGGGGTAAAGCTGGCCAAGGGCCATTGCTCAGAAATGGGCTGGGCATCAGCGGTGATGAGCAATTGTTCTTCATTTGCATCACTTGTTTTTCTTTAGTTCTATTTCTCTCTTATTGTTATTTTCCTTTCCATGATAATTTATTATTATTATTTTATTTGAATCAAGCTGTTCTCATCTCAACCCACAAGTTTTCTTACTTTTACCCTTCCAATTCTCTACCCCATCCCATCAAGGAGAGGGAAGTAAGCTGTCAGGGAAATGGTGCTTAGTTTTCAGCTGCAGTTAAAACATGACACATGTACCCCTGAATACAATAATATCAAAACAAGACATTGTCCAGATTCCTTAATGCTGCAATTCTCATAGTCCCAACCTTAAAAAAGTCCAGTGTTAAGCAATGACCATGGCAACCCTTAAATATACACCCATCTGGCTACTAGCCATGCATTGGCACAGTGCTCCAAGTAGTATTCTAATAGCAGCAACAACAAAGAAATATCTCCTTGATTTGATAAAAATCTATTACTATACCTTCAGCTGCTCCAGTGGTGTCATCTAATACATGCTTTCCTCTCCTATCACATCCTTCCTCATGTCTCCCCATCACCATGTCCACAGGCCTATACTGCCAGAACACACGACAAAGAGCAGAGCTGTTCCCATCCAACAGAGGATTCCCTCTGCAGCTTTGGTAGTGCTAAGGCAAATATATGCATATGAAATGATACAAAGGCTTCTCCTGTGTAATTGGATTCACTCCCAGGTTGCTTTTTATTTGGATTCAGTGAAACTGGAATTGGGACTGATGCCAGGCCAACTCTATCTGGCCAAGCATGTTTTTTATGTGGACAAGTGAAAAGGAGCTCAGTATGAGGGTGTTTTCTTAAAAGCAGCTAATTTGCAAAAACAGTATTTAATAATCAGAGAAACTGAACCTAAATTAATCCCCTGCATTTCAACATGTCAGCTACTAATTTTTCTATTTTATATACCTGTGGGGCATCCCAAGGCCTATAAAGGCATTTACAGTTGTGGAAAGATACCATAGGGAGAAGAAGAATTGCTCACTGCTGTTACCAGGTTTGAAAGCTTGGCTTATTCCAACAGCAGCATCATACACACCAAATGCAAGTTTTCCAGTCTGCAGAACTAAGGAAGCTCTGCTGCATTCACATTTCTATACAGTTGTTAACCTCTTGGTCTATGGGACTACATAACCATACAACAAGTCTCTCATTAGCAAATTTGCAGATGACACTAAGCTGGGGGGGGGGGGAGTGTCGATCAGCTGGAAGGCAGGAGGGCTCTGCAGAGGGACCTGGACACGATGGACAGTTGGGCTGATTCCAACGGGATGAGGTTCAACAAGGCCAAGTGCCGGGTCCTGCACTTTGGCCACAACAACCCCATGCAGTGCTACAGACTGGGGACAGAGTGGCTGCAGAGAAGCCAGACAGAGAGGGACCTGGGAGTTTGGATTGACAGGAAGCTGAACATGAGCCAGCAGTGTGCCCAGGTGGCCAAGAAGGCCGATGGTATCCGGGCCTGGATCAGGAACAGTGTGGCCAACAGGTCCAGGGAAGTGATTCTTCCCCTGGACTCAGCACTGGTGAGGCCACACCTGGAGTGCTGTGTCCAGTTCTGGGCCCCTCAGTTCAGGAAGGATTTTGAGGTGCTGGAGCAGGTCCAGAGGAGAGCAACGAGGCTGGTGAAGGGACTCGAGCACAAGTGCTATGAGGAGAGGCTGAGGGAGCTGGGGTTGTTCAGCCTGGAGAAGAGGAGGCTCAGGGGAGACCTCATCACTCTCTACAACTCCCTGAAAGGAGGTTGTAGCCATGTGGATGATGGTCTCTTCTCCCAGGCAGCTATCAGTAAGACAGGAGGCATGGTCTTAAGCTCTGCCAGGGGAGGTTTAGGTTGGATATTAGGAAGAAATTCTTTACAGAGAGGGTAATCAGGCATTGGAATGGGCTGCCCAGGGAAGTGATGGACTCTTCATCCCTGAAAGTTTTTAAGATGAGACTGGATGTGGCACTTAGTGCCATGGTCTAGTAACCATGGTGGTAGTGGATCAAGGGTTGGACTTGATGATCTCTGAGGTCCCTTCCAACCAAGCTCATTCTATGATTCTATGATTCATCAACAGCAAAAACAGTTCAGAAAGCTTGAAGAGGAGGATTCCCCAGCTATAGCGAGCTCTGCTTTTTGACCGTGTATGGTATGCCAAGGTGAGAACTGGTATGGTGAGAACATCTTGACTAGTAGCATTCCCTGGTTGAGAAAACTGTCCTTTGGGTGAAATCAGTTTCCAGGAAGGGAGTAATGGCCCAAAACACTTTTTACACCCAAGACTGTATGTACAGCTCAATCAGAAACAGTCATACCTCACCCCTGCCCATCCACTTCAAAGGAATAAGATTTTTCCTTGCTAAACCAGCCTTTCCTCTTTTACAAAGACAGACTGACAATGCACATACAGGAGAATGACAGGTGTTAAACACTGATGGCTGATAAAACACACAAGGGAAACCTCTTCTTCAACATCACCCAAGCTCATGTGAAGGAGAGCACCAGCTACAGGGAGTCCTTAGGCCAGGTTCTCAGCCACGGCTAAGTCATGTCCTCCCAAGTACTCACTCTAGGTGATCTGGCCCTGGGGAACGGAAGGGTTAGTAGGACTCAATTCCCCAGCATAAGCCAAGGCTGTGAGCTCACACACTGGATACAGCCAGCTCAAGCAGCAGGCTTGAGTGCCCAGATCAAGTGTTTTCTGTCCACACTGCTGGCTGTTGGTCCAGAGGGACTAAAAAGTAGTTATGCTTGAAATATCTCACAAAGCGCTAATGTGCAGCAACCTGAGACCTTCCCAGACCAGATGGATACAGAGGGCATAAATGAGGGTCTGGTTTTGGTTCAGATGCAGAGCATGTATAGGGTCTCCCTTGTCAGTAAGCCTCAAATTGAGGTTGAGGCAGACACCAGGTGAGTCTTGGGCCTGCACCTAACTTTCAGTGTAGACACAGGGGGAGCTAATTCACATCAGCTTTTCTGACAATGACGGTCGATGAACAGGAAACACCACAGATAATTCCAGATGTGTACATACCCAGTGGTACAGGCAGTAATGATGAAGGGCAGCTGAGATATTTATGCATTGCACACAAGACCAACAGGATGTACAGAATTTAGGAAATACTGCGTTGTAGAGAGTGAGCATGATGCTGCAGTGGTGTTAAGTATGAGGTGAAAGTCACAGCATTATGCCAAGAGAAAGATGAGTCAGTTAGCAAGAAAAAGGATGGGTTTGTGCACGGGTAGAGTCGTAAGTTTTAGAGTGCCAGACTTGACTTTCAAACATGTCCCATGGTTGCCCCTGGGGCTTCACAGATGGCGCATAAGTGCATTCAGCAGCACATATAGCAACTTTGATTCGGGGTGTGCAGAAAGGAAGAGTGGTGAGGGAAAGGAGACAGGTGTGCAAACAGAGATGGCATTAGCATGTGAACAGTACATGATGAGAGATGAAAGCCATATGAATTTCTTACCTCCCATAAATCCCAAGGTAAAGACTAAGCATGTCAAAGAGCAACAAAAATAAAACATGTTTATACATGATTATTTCAGTGAGTACAAACATTACAGACGCTGATCAGACTGAAGCAGACATACACATTCAACAGCACTTATCTCTGCATGTTTTGAAATATTTGTTACTACTTGAATTTATACACCCCTCCCCACTGCATATTCAAATCTAAGCACCAAGGCACTTGAGTAAGGGTTTTTTCTACCTCTGGTATGAAGGGAGACAGTCAAGCCACATTCAGTTATCAGTGGCAGACCACATAGTCAGAAAAAAAAACAACCAAATAAACAAAAAAACCCAAACCAAACTCATGAGTTTGTGGTCCATTAGGGTTAAATGTTTCCCCATATATCTACGCCCAACAGAGTTAGCATGATTTCAGAACAAGACATCAACTGGTGCCCCAACCCTGGCAGCTTTCAAGGTCAGGCTGGATAAGGCCTTGAGCAGGTGCAAAGTGTCAGTGTCAGGTGCAAAGTGTCTCTGCCCATGGCACATGACATTGGCACTAGATGACCTTTAAGGTCCCTTCCAATCCCTTAACATTCTATGGTGTCTTTGGATCGGTAGTGAAATATCTTAACCTCTTTGCCATACTGCTCACCCTATGGGAAATAAATCTGACTGCTTTGATAACTAGGTGGTTTTCACTCGGTTTTTTATACGTTGGTTACCATTAGAAATTATCAATTTCAGACTCTTTCTTTTACTGACTTCTGAAGCTAATAATAATTACATTAGAGCACCAAATATTCCATTGCTGAGCAGTTTTGGAAAACCAATTTAGTGTAATATTTGTTGCATGCTGAAAGGGTAACAAATAATTCCATTTTAAGTCTAATTTATACTCATATCCTATGTCAGTATAACCAATTATCTAAGCTATAACTGGTGATTCAGAAAAAAAATTCTAGTAAATAAATCTAAAAAAAAGCTTATCCTGTAAATTTATCTTGCAGCTTGTTCTGTAAAGCAAGTTCTGTAAGGCAAGTAGACACAAAATGCCCATCTGCCCACTTAAAGTTCCAAAAACGGGTAGCTTGCCATATTGGTGTATATCAGGTTATGATGATAACTGCTATCTTGCAGATACAGTATTTTAATTCAGGAGAATCAAATGCCTAATGTTTGATCTCTTTAATAAGAAAGGTCTTATTCCTACAAAAGTCTGTGCCATACAGACCTACTTGACATGAGAAATACGGTAAACATTCCAATTATGTTTATTACAAATTTTAATGGCATCCACAAAAAATAAGCAGTCCATACATATTAAATGTAAAGTCTCAGTGAGGACAACAACCAAATTCAGGATGCATTTCAAAGCCTCCAGCCATTTAGACATAAAATGAAGTGCAGTCCACCTGCCTCTGATGGTGGACAGGACCAGTTACAGATCAGACCAGAATTAGGGCTTTTTGATACCACACTGTGCAGCACTGTGGCCAAAGAGGAAGCTACTTCTTAACTAAGAACACAGGCTATGTTACACACAGAAAAAGAAGGGCTTCACATCACTTGAATATCCCATCTACAGCTTTATTCACCTTAAGTCACTGCAGATTATCAAAGTGTCTATTAAAAATCCCTTAGAGAGCAATTTATAACAGGAACACAGAACTCAGGCTGAATTCTCATCCATGGAGTTGCAGTTTAAATCCATATAGCAGAGAGAGGATGCTAAACTAAGGAGGGACATACATTAAGTTGAATGAGGTGCCAATAAGCAGATCATAAGAGCAAATCACAGGCATCCCACAAACACCTAGTGCCAGACTGTGGCCAGGCTAGTAGCCATCTGATTCTCACTGGATTTGCACATCCAGCAGAGAAGACCAAGGTGCCCACCTCTAGTGCCCAGGCCTGGGCTCCCACACATAATGCCCAGCCACCCACAGCTCGGGTCCACATTATCATTCAGGTGACTGCAAGTCACAACACACGTGGCAACAAGTCAGTTACAAAGGGAGAAGGAATGGTGATATGAACCAACCTGGGAGGCGGGTGTGGGGGTCTTCCCCACAGTGGCATCTGGTTTAATGGGATCAAAATCCAGATCCAACAGGCTGGCTCCCTCCTGGAAGGGCCCAGGGGCATCAAACTTGGCAGCAGTGAGGAAGAAAAGCAGTACGAGCATTAGACACACACGCGCGCGCACAGTACAGGGAGGGCATGTGATATCCCAGAGCTAAAGCTGCAAGCGCAGAAGACATGGTGGCAGTGCAAACACCTGATGTGACTCCTGACTGACTGCATCCTACAAACACAAGCAGGTAGCACAGGGTGCCACTGTAAACCAAATCTGAGCCTTTTCCACAAGACTCATTCATCATCTCACCTGGCCAAATGAACTGACGTGGTGTAAGCACCTAACCTGCTGTGGTCAAAAGGATCACTGCCACTGCCAAGTCAGAAAGGCTGTTCTTCTATTTATATCTAATCCTCACAGCTTATCCAACTGCCTTTGTACTGACAGACCAAAACTGACTCCCTCAAATACATACAAAAGAGTTGCCATCTATACAATCTATATCAGGAACAAAAATCCAGGGACAAAACCACTCAGACTGCTGGAAGGCAAGTCTGGGAGATCTCAGAGCTAACTACCAAAGCTCCTAATTTCCTCCTGCCTTCTGAGACAGAAACACAAAATATGGCAGCTCACTCTAGTAAGAGATTTGAATCCCTTCCAAGTTCAAAAATGCCATTTTCAATGGTTTCCATTTCTGGGCAACCCAGAAATATACACACACAAGTCTTCTGAAAAACCATAAATTTGAGAAGCTTTGCTACTCTCTACAATTTCAGCAGCATAACTCCCTTTGAGTGATTAATGTTCTACCTAAGGACAGTGATGGCACATTTGCTGATTGCCAATAATAAAACAGTCACTACAGAGGACTTGAGTCATTAGTATTCAAAACTTGACTATCACTTTCGTGTTTTAGATTTAATCTAACCACTACAAGACACTCCTTTCTACTCTGCTTCAGAGGAAGGTGCTCTCTCCAGGAAGTCAGGAAGATTTGCCCCTGTTTCCTTTGATCTCCCAGGAGACTGGCCTTACTGTTTCAGTGACCTTTTCAACAAATGTGGCAGGTTGGTCTCCACAGTTATATCATAGCCCCACAATGGAAAAACTTCTGGAAAGTAGCAAGACACACTGTTTTAGAGAAGTTCCCTGAATACTACCAGCACCACCATAATTTTCATGTCCTCTAGTTTCTCTTACTCCAATTCTCTTAGAGATGTTTCTCTCCCTTATGAATGTGTCTTTTTGGCATCCACAAGGATGAGGACAAGGAATCAAGCTCTCTCATCTCCCAGTAATAAACCCTGACCACAATGCAAAAACCAACTGGCATTCTACTATGCTCTTCCAGCACATCCAAGCTACCCATCAGAGCAGTTCCAAACCCAGTCTTTAGTTTCATTTGGTAGTGATACATCAAAGGCTGCAGTCATGGAATAGCCTTACCTGCCATTCAAGATTTAAATGCAAGGGCTAGCACCCTTTGCCTTTATCCAGATCTTCCACAAGACAGCTCATTGAAACTAAGATATCTCTCATTGGAACTAAGACATCTGACAGGAACAGCCCTGGGCAACACACTGAGTGGTAGGAGCTGTTGGGTACTTCAGTGAAGATTGTTTTGGCAATCAGAGTCCTCCCTCGGAACCACCATCTAATCGAAAGTCACAGCAAATGCCACCCTGGGTCAGAGCACTGATCAGGTGCAGAAGAGCAAGTCTGACTAAGGGGCTGGCATTCACGTGGAAATACATGATACAAACCATGGAGCAGACAGAGCTGTCCACTACAATATAGGAGAAGGAAGCACAGAAAATGATAGAGTGTTGCTCAGCTGCCTATGGTCCCTGCCTTCCAACACTGATGTCAAATCATCTTTCTACTCTGCAATGTAAAATCTGACATGGACTTCATTCCCTCCCCACTTCATCTCTGCTCCTCAGCAGATGGATGGAAGGTGGAAAACCAGAGGCAATGGAGCAACATGATGTAAAGAGAAGTTAGGGGCTGAATCACAGATGAGCACTAATAGAGACATTATTTGTGCTTTAACAAGCATTTAGGGAGAAAAAAATATACACATGTATACATATATACATAAATATATAAAGTATATGCAGGTATTTCATGATACAGCCAGAAATCTGGTCAGGCTCTTATATACATAAGGACTGCCATTTGCCTAGATCCAACACAGAACTCCCTACCTGGGCATCCTCTCTGGCAGTGATGTAAATAAAAGTGAAAATGAAGAGGAAAATATATAATTTGAAAATGTTTTTCCTTTTTCAGGGCTTCTTTTCAGGTGCCACCTGACAAGAAATACTGACAGACTGTGTAAGCAGTCCTAACTTAACAGCAGGCCCATCTAACTGCAGGCCTCTATTCTTTGCAAAGGGAACTTCACGCAATTTCTGTTGGTCTTTCCTAGGCAGGGGTGGGCTTTAAGCCACAAACCCCATGTGTAAAGGCATAGACAGCACAAAACTGCCTTCTCCCAAAACTGGTAGAGATACCTGGGTCAGCAGTTAGGGCCATACATGAGCAGAAAAAACATGCTTTATCCATACTCGGGATCAGTGAGTCTGGAGAGAGCATATCACCGGATATGAAGACAGTTGTAATCCATGTGCATTGCTGCTGAACAAATGCAGTGATTACTTTCTGGCATCTTGACCAGCTGCATTTCTCCTGTTTCTTCTATGAATGAAAGCTCTCAAAGGACAGTGTGTTACTCAAGGCTTCCTTCTAGCCACCCTCCCCTTTAAGGAAGCCTCCTATCTAACCTACTGCCTTCCAAGGTTCAATGCTGAGCTTCCTTTCCTCCTTTACCTGACCAGGTTTCATGACTTAACACCTCCAAAGAAAGGTTGAAAGGAAAAGTTCAGAGGCAGACAAAAATTAGGCAGGGCATAGCAGCTAACCTGCAAAGGGGTTGTCACACTTATCTCAGGGACAAAATTGTCATCAAACAGACTGATGATGTTCTCCTGCTTGATCTCCTTGGAGGGGGTGACTTTTGGAGGCGGAGGCACCGGAGGCCCTTTCCTCAACTGCATGCAAGTGAGCACACGGCCACAGCACAGACGGCGACACCCAAAAAAACCAAAGACAGGAACCAGGTTAGTCACAAAAACTGAAGGTGAGGGAAATCACAATCACTGGCTTAGAGCAGGGTCCAATCAACTCCATCTGAAGAGGGAGGGAGTAGGGGGTGAAGGGCTGTATTGAAACAAAACAAAATAAACAACCACACGCCTCCAGAGAAGGTTTGGCATCATTAGTTACACTTCAGCCGTGGGCAAGTTTCCCTCTGCAGAGGAGAAGCGTAACACAATTAATATGCATTGACAGGACATGCATACATAATTAAAGCATGTGCAACCTTCAAAAGAACCACTGGGAAGGGAACAGATCAATTACTGAGAACATGATCCAACAGAACAGGTCAGCACTGCCTCCCTTTTCTGTACTTACCATACCTAAGGGAATGAGAGAACAGGCTCAATTTGCCCTACTATGGGCAGGTGACCATGAGGACAGACTGATCTGCCCAGTACTGGCTCCCTGGTGCATTGGTTATCAGTGTGCTGTAAGAAAGGTCTGAAGGAGCTCTTGATGGCATCTTAGCTTTAGACAAGAACAACTCAAATTTCCAAGAAGCCACAACTGCTGTGAACCCAACTCTGCTCTCAGTTTCACCAGTGAGCATTGACACTAATGAAGTCATGTTTTCCAAATGGAGATCCCAAGGGAACGCATAAAACCATCTGACCCGGTAACTCTAATATCCAATAGCCACCATCATGCTAAAGACTCAGCCTGACACTGCATTCACAACCCTGTGGAAGCTGTGGTAGACCCTCCCTAGATCAACCCATCCACATCCTTTTCACCTTCTCCTGTGCTCAAAGCTTAATGATCATTTCTAGGTCAAATCAGACTTTGAGGAGCTTCTATTGTATTGAAATAAAGCAGCCATACAAGTTCCCAGCACCAAAGCAATGCTTAGCACTGACAATGCTTTCCATTTACAATACAGTTTTACAGCTACTTGATCTTCTCATCATACCTAGGATCCCAAGGCAGCAAGACTCAGAGACCTGACAATGTGTACCCAGTCTATCAGTGTCAAGCCCAGATCTGAAACACAGAAATCCTTAGCTCCTAGTCCTGTGTTCACATTCTTCCAACTTATAACTGAGCTCTACAAGGATTTATTTAGATTCCTAAAGATGTGCCTGGTCTTCTACAGGGTTAACCTACTTTAGAGAGAGTGAGTGTGTATGAAAACACACAATTTTCCCCTGTATAGCTAAATAGGGGAAATAATGAAAATAATGTGTTCTTTCAACTTTTCACTGTTTGCAGAAGGTGGTGTGTCCATACTCCCTGAGAACAATCCCTTCCTGAAAACCCCCTGCTTACAAGATGAGATCAGAAATTTCAAAGAAAAGCTATTCTCAGAACCTAGACACCCTCTGCAGAAATGAAAGGCTCCAATTACTAATTCTAAAGTAAAAAATATCACAACTTTTCTGCTATTTATTTCTCTAATACAGTTAGTCTCCTTCCTTCCGATACATTAGTGTTTTGGAGATGACCACTTCCACACTGTCCAGCATTACCTCCAATAGCAGCCTAAAATCACATTTCAAAGACAAGATGACTGATGTTGGGTTATACCTACAAATTAATCACTCACTAAAAACTTTGTTGTCTAGACTAAAGCAAATCCTCTAAAATTTTTCTGCTGATTTGGATCCCCCAGAGCTTTACCTGTCGAAATTCAACATAGTTGCACTGATTTCAAAAGTCTCATTACAGCATTTCGGTGGTGTAACTGAGAGCAGAAGTCTGACCTTTGAAGTTTCACGGACTCCCTGAAGTCCTGTGTCATCATCAAATCACTACACAGAGAGCTGACAGCATTCATTTCTTCCAAAAGACAGAAATAAACTGTTCTCAAGAATTAAAGGACAGTAAAAGAGGTTTGGTGTTTTTTTCTGGTATAGGGAACAGTTCAAAATTTAGACAGCATTTATTTGGTCACTCCTGTTTTGTCGTCTTTCTTTCCACAGCCTTTGCTTATGATTTGCTTTAGTATTTCAGACATGAAGAGGCCAGAGAACTGTTCTTGCTTTTTGCATTTTGGTCCATCCTCCCACAGAGGGTGAGGCCCCCCAGCCTCCCTTGGAGGACTGTTGAACAAATCACTTACCCAGAAGTCAAAAGTAATAAGACCTGTGAAGACGTCAGTATTAAAGTTGAGCAGACACTTGTGTTTCCCAGCTGGCTGGCAAGCTGACACACACTTTCTAGACTTTATCCATACAGACACTAGGCTTGGCTCTGAGTGTGAAACTCCTGCCCTTGTCTTCCCTCCCTCTGGAGCCAGCTCCATCTCTTATCAGGTAGTGTGACTATGGAGTGGAGCTCTTGCTTTTCACTGTAGTGATGCCTGGGGGGATGAATTAAATATAGACTGGGAACGAGCTGCCAGGTGGTGGCAGCATTCGCTGCAAATACCATTTCAGTCTCATCCTGAGGCCCATCCAAGGTTGCAGGGCTGCACTGGAATATTCTGCTTGCTTGGCAAGGGGTGCTTCTAGCCCCATTCCTGTGGGCAGGCAGGCAGGTAGCAAGTGAATAAGAAAGCACTTGCAGGCTGGCAAAAACAAAGGTTATCTGTGCTATTTAAAGGAAAGGGAAGAAGCCAAATTCATTAAGACAAGTCCACAGACAGGGTGAGTGAAGTCTGCTGTGAACAGCTTAATAAATCTGTACAATTTCTTGTTTAAAATTTTAGCCAAGTTCTGCAAATCTCTGGGGAAAAAAAATCAAAACCAAACCCACAACAGAAAGGCAATTGTGGATATACTATCTTCTCTCCCCCGTACACACAGTCTACTCCAAGGTCCTAGCCTTGGTCATGGTGAAGCCAATCTAGGCTTCAGAGACCCTGGAGAAGTCCTGAAAAGACACTGCCAGGCATCCACACATCTCACGGGGCTGGAAGCTTTTGCCTATGCAAAAACATCCCCTTCCTGTCCCTGCATAATCATAAAAGTCAAAAATGCAGTAGAGAGAAAAATATTCTGAGAGGCTCTCCAGAAACAGGAGACAGCCTACCCCACAGGCCTGGATTTGGAATAATGCTGCTACATATGGCAACAGCAAAGAAGCTATGGGTTGCACCCATCTCTTTTCAGAGGCAATAGGTTTTCCCATACCAGTTTGGCCAGAACCTGTCTCAGCTTTAGTTCTTCCTGGAAGACTACTCCCTAGTGTCCCACTTACTGAGATACAAAGACTGGGACCAGACATAAATTTGTTCTAGTTACTACTTTTCCCTACTAAGCTTTTCTCCCACTCAGCAACAGAGGGACAGGAAGAGGAAGTAAATGTTTTATTTTCCTTAAATCCCAAAGTCAAACATATCATATGATATGCTGAGTAGCTACATCTACTATTTTGAACATGCTGCTGGCTATCTCCTGTGTATGGAAAGACCTAACAAAGGCCATATAGAAGGCATAAGACTCCATATAATGGACAGTATTCTTCCTGGAACTCATGTAATTTCTTCATAGCATAAGAATATAACCCCTTTATTTTTAGCATATAATGTTATCTTGGTAGTAAAGTAAAACATCCAAAGTACAGATGTTCTCCTTATTAATAATAATTTTTTTTATTTTAACCTTCTTCATCTACAGAAGTTCTTGAGAAGAAATTGGACCATTGAATTCCACAGGTTAATTCAAATGTAAAGAACAAACTTCCTCGCCTAGCTACAACTCTATCCTCCCTGGATCTTCTTGGCCATCATATCAGACAGCAAAACATATTACTGGCCTTCACCCTGTAAAGCCATTCAGAGATACTCAGTTCTTCCCTATATGATACAGAGATGACCCAGAAGCAACTCGAATTCCCAGGAACTTTCTCAGGAACCAGTGAAAGAGAACAACCATCATGTCACATTCTGTGTTCTCAGTAGCAGGATGAGGTCCAAAAAAGCAACTGCTGGATGTCTTTGACTCACAGAGCTTGTGCCATCAGCGGTCATACTGTGGAGACATGGTCAATGTCATGGGGACACTACCTGAGATGGTGACTTTGGGATGCTTGCCCCAGGCGCTTCCAAAGTGGATGGTTCCAGCTCATGGTTGACAGTCTTGGTCTCAGGGCTGGTGATGGGAGATCCATCTGGTGGAGGCGAGGGGCTTTTATTTGCTTTCGCTGGGGTGCTGTCACTGAAGGAAGTGGAGAGAGAAAGGGAGAGATAGGGAGAGAGAAAGAGAGAGAAGTCTGAGCCAGGCCTAGGAGGAGTTTTGCTAACCAGACCAGACCAGTGGCCTCCATTATCTCTTTGCTTCACTGTCCAGACACATGATGAAGATATTTGAAGCCTCAACAAGCTTCTGAGAAGCATCTCTGCTGAGTCACTTGCAGTGCAACACACTGCAGCAGCATTACTTTGCAGCACTCACTTTAGCTACTCACTAAATTCCTACAGAATAGATATACTTGCCTCACACACAACAAAACTAAAAACAAAACAACCAGGCATACTGATTTTGCTAGATTCTAACCTACGTGCCTGATATTAAGTCATAGTCTTTAACACTGGGGAAGCAGATGGGGAAAGGAGTTCTTTGTTTTTTATTTAAGTTCTACAGATTAGAATTTTTCTGTGTGGTGGTCTACTGACACTTGCATGAGTTATGACTAATAGATTCATAATACCTGAATAAGGCTGTAACCATAGTAACATTTACTTCTATGTGGTACAAACTGGCTAAGCCAGAAGAGAGGCAAACTAGACAGAGGTTTCACAGATCATTCCAGACAGCAAAGAAACAGTGAGGTTCCAGCTGGTAATAGATATTTCACTATTATGAAAAGTCTCACCAGTTGGTCTTTATTCCAGGACTGTTTCTGACACACAGAGGGATTCTTCAGGGAATTAAGCTGCAAGAAGCTACACCAATGGCATTTGTTGGTTCATAGCTTGGACAGATTTGGGTAGATTTTTCAAAGGAATGACAAGAGGCACACGCCTTTCCCTAGAGAGGTGCCTTGGCTGAGTGTCAAGTCAGTGCTTTAAAGTACAGAATTATGAAAATTTGGTAAAATGTTGGTTACCAGAGAATTTCAACAGGGATGAAGGTAACAACCAAATTCTCAGGAACAGCTGAATCATCTTGGCTGAAATTCAGCTCCCACAAAATCAACTAATCAATATATCTCAAGTCATACAGAAGTACACACACTGGTGTGGGATATTTCAGCAGAAGTGGTTACAGTTTGGCAAAACTATACACAGCTGAAAACAGAATATAGAATATCACAGCATATTGCAAAAAGGCTGTGCAACCTCATCTGCAGGATATATTTGCCTTCACTTATAAAGTCATACTTCTGTGAAGTTGAAGGCCTTGGGAGAGGCTGAAAAAAATATATCCTTTCCTACAACTTGATACAATAAATCCTGGCAGAGGGCCAGAACTAGAGCAATGCAGACCAGATTCTGAAGGGACATCAAGTCATTTATTTCTTTGCTCTGTCCCAAGAGAGCCCAGAGCTTCAGACATGTGCATCCACTCACACTTGGGACACCTAAGTTATGGTGGTCACTGGCTAACATGCATGATGGCCTCATTCCTAAACATTTGTTTACAAGTGGGGGATAGCAAAAGGAAGAAGGGATAGCAAGGCATTTCAACAAACCTCCCCTTCCAAGCAAGCATCTCACCCTGGTCAGCATTCCAGCTTTCAAGCTCCCCATTCACTTCGCCCTCACCCATTCCCCCCACTTTCTCCCCATATCCACATCCCACACGCACATTTCCCCACAAAGCACTTGTTCTCAGGTCCACATGCAGGTCGGACACTTCTGATGACACTGATGCCAGCAGCACACCGACATGATGCAACAAACCCAATGACGTTCTCTGCCAGCAGCTCTCAACCAGGGGCACACATACCAAGGGAAAAAGAGGGAAATGAAAAGGAAAAAGAGAAGACGAGAGACTAAAGAACATGTACGCCAACCCTTGCAGCTCTTCAGTCTGACTGGAAATGCCTACAGTGTCCTTCCTCGAAGGTTCCCAGAAATCATTTCAATACAGTGGGTTGTGTGAGAGATTCTGCAAAATTTACAAGGTTGTGCTACAGATTCAAAATAGTACCGGCTGGAGGGTGAAGGTAAGGAAGTCCTGATCTAAATGGGAGCAACCAGGAAACAGCAGGAAATGACAGAAAACGTCCTCTGATGCTGGGGGCGGGGGGGGGGGGGGGCTCGAGGGAGAACCACGTTACCTTCCCCAGAGCTGAAAGCACTTTGGAGAAGATGGGGGACAGAGTGATCTACACCTAGACTGACAAGACTTCTCAAATGCCCAGACTACACTGGGAATACTGTGACTACTGGCTATCAGCTGGCCTACCAAGACAAGGATAAGCTTTTCCTTCTAGGGATTTAAAAAGGCCATTTCTCCCGATGAGAAAGAAGTTTAGGCTTATTTTCTAAAGGCCATGAAACAGCTTTGTAGTGTCTTATTTCTGGTGCCTGGCAATTACTTAATTTGGAGATATATTGGTAAAAGGCTCCCATGTGAGTCAGCCCTTGTAGGATGAGGGGAAGAAACTGGGCTGTGAGGGCCTCACACTAAAGACTTCATTAAGTCACTACTATTTACAGCTTGTTTGATGTGCTGGCCAATGCCCCTAGGAAAATGCCAGTGCTAATTTTGGCTGAGCCTTTTTCAGCCCCTCGAGCCGCACCTTCATTCCTGCACTTGTTGCATGAATTTAGCCAGTGCAACCAGCATCAAGAGAGACAGTCACCAGGATCCTGTCCTTCACATGTCCTCAGGGAGCACACACAGCCCATACAGTGCAAAGTCTTGTCTCCAACTAACTGCTTGCTCCAGGAAACACAGGAAAAAGCAAGAGTGTGGGTACTGTACCCACTGACCAAACACGAGTAACACAGTAAAAGCAAGCCAAAACGACAAGGTCATTGCTCTGTCTTTTTCCTTCCCATGAACAACTGGAAAGTGATGCCAAATCCAGGAATATCAGGTGAGGAAGGAAAGGGGGTGTCAACTTTCTTCTGCAAATAGAGAGCTAGGAACAGGGTCAATGCAGTTACTCCAGCTGAAAGGAAAGTAAAAATCCCCCAGCCTGTTTTAGTGCTGCTTAGCTCTCAGACCCTTCATGGGGCTGCTTCATTTGTTCTGGAAGAGCAGGGTAACATCTGCAGATGGGATTCCCATGCACTTGTAACAAGCATACATTAGAGGATGAAATCTACTTTCCAATATGGCAAAAACAGACCAGTTACCTCCTGCCAAGTTCTCAAATTAAAAAGAAAAAAAAGTTGGCATCTCAGCTAAGGCTCACACAGGGCCTTTTAGCCAAAAGTAATTCATTTTTTACCACCAAAGCATACTGAAGAATTATTAAAAAAAAAAAAAATAGAGCACCTACATACCCAAACCTGTGATGACACAAATGTACATTCTTTCTGCAGATAAAAGACTGAACAAGCCCCAGGCCCTTCTTCCCTGCACCAGGGACTGCACATTTCTCTGTGACTCCAGCAGCTGCTCTAAAAGCAGAAATCCCCAGCACAGCCCAGGTCAGGCACCTTAACTGCTGGGCCAGTTGAATTTTATCAAGGCAGAGCAGGAGGACATTGTGGCTAGAGCTCATCGAGGTGAGATTTATTAGCTCTCCTTCTGCTGTAGCATCCATCCGTTCTCAGTGACTGGAAATATTAGACTTCCTGCCTGGTACAGGTACAACACCAGTCCAACAAAGGACAGAGACAGACATCCAGAAAAGTACTCCAGTGAATCCTTATCCTCCTTTTCCTATAGTAGAAAACCTCAGAATATTAACAACACAAGACATTGCTTCACTACTTTTCGTTTGAGACCTAAGTACCAAGAATCAGCTTCCCTGTTCAATTACCATTCTCCACTCTCCAACCTCCCACTTCACAAAGGATGCATGGCAGAGACAAAGAGAAGGGCATGACTTGCCCTAGGCAGCAGGAAGCCAGAATCAGAAAAGCAAGGATACCAATCCACCAGCACTTGCTTTTATTGCTTGCAGGATACCATCTTGATAATTCCATTTTTGTTCTTCCTATAGGAGCCCCATGGAGGGAGTACCAACACAATGAATAAAAATAAATGAAAATTAGAGGAATTATGCAGCAATTCCCACTTTGCTCCAGAGCATGTTTTTGTCAGTCCTCAACTTATGGTAACTCTAGGCATTGTAGCAATCCAGTTAATCAATGCCATCACTGTCTTGAAAGGCAAGATGCAGGCATTAGTCTTTATACAAGACAACAGACTTCCTTTTCCTTCAGCTCTGCACAAAATTTTAAATGGATAGAGCAAGACAGTGAGGATCCTCAAGAACAGAGCAAGTAAGGAGCAAAGCTAGAAGTGTCCTTCTCCCACCTCATCATCCTTCCAAACGCAACAGGTAGATAGGACAGGACTTCTGAGTGTGAAAGACCTGTTTATTGGTCCTCCCTGGCCAGGAAGGAAATGAGAATACAGCATTTCAGACTTGTTCAAATGGGCAAACCCAATAGTTAAAGCTAGAAGTGTTAAAAACCTAAAATTGATCATATGTCCCATGGAAAACACAGCACTGCATTTTCCATCACATAAAACCAACTGGACAGACAATGCCTGAGTTTTCACACTGCCTTCTTAGATAGGAAAAGAAGCAAGGATTCAAATCAGGCACACAAGCAGTTAATGGGATTATCCAGACACAGAGATCTCAGCAGGACCCAGCAGGCGATGAACACATCATATCATGCAAAGAATCCCTCTCCCACCACAGGGTTAACACGTGCCAGGCTGTTAGAGTCCAGCAACAGCCTCTCCAGTTTTAGGAACTAAATCAAACACGTATCGAAATGCTGCTCTCCATACCGGTACCTGCTCATCTTTTTCCTCAGCCTGGCGAACAGTTTAGTTTTCTTTCTGTTGAGGATGGCACGCAAATCACTTCAGTTACAGGATGGCACAGTTAAACCAGGAAGCTTCCATGCACCCATTTATGTGGTGCCACAAAACTCATTGTAATTAAGATAACAGGATCTCCTCTCTCTCTCACACACACACAAACACACACTTCTCTTCATTCCTAGAAAGCTATGGCCTGGTTTGGAGAAAGTGGGAGAAGGGTTTTTATGCCTGTGAAAGATCTATATACATGTAAGCAAACTAGAATTTTTCCTGCACTTTGGAACATGGGGCCATGGTGCACATGGAGAAGAAAAAGGAAATTGTATAGACCACTAGAGTCCTGTAAAAGCCCTTTTTTTCACAGCTGCTCACTTTTCACTGTGAATATTGCTGCAAAAGAAACAAGTTCCCCATTCTCCTTTACTTATGTGATCTGCACAGTCTTGTACATGGAACTTAATCATCAGCTTTCCTACCATGTCTTTTTCCAGTTTGTCCAATCCAATACTAGGATAACGCTACTGATCTCCTAGCTCTTCTAGGCATCTGAGCCCTGAATGTTCAAACTCTTTCAGAAGCAAATCCCAAACCCGTGCCTGAGGTTCCCAGAAATACACCAGCTGCTCTGTGCTACTGTGCTACACTGCCAGCATCAGATTCATCAACCACAGTAGTATTTCTGTAAGGCCTCACACAAATGTCATAATGATATGTAGAGATAATTGCCTCTCTTCTCACACCTCCTCATTCATTTCCTGCCATTGTATCAATCTCCAATCCTTTTCCCAGTAGAAAAGGGTTAGGGAAGCATCTGCTCCTACTGTAGACCACAATAAGCTATTTCCTCCCACACACTTTCACTCCAGCCTTGTGCCACAATGAGAGGCCAGATGTGCAGCAGAGACAGAAGTGCCTCACAGCATTTCCTGGTCACTGCAAAACATATTTACTACCTTGGCAAACCTTTGCTACATCCTCCTACAACACCCTGCCCCACTGCACTCAGGAGGAAGAGAGTTGCTCTGGGGCAGGTCTGGCATCTCAGCCAAGATGCAGCAAGATGAAGCTGCAGCACTCAGATTGCTCCCCACACAGGGACCTCTGCACGTGCTCTCAGTTTTGGCTTTTAGGGCCATGTGGTCTCATAGCCAGACAAAGAGCACAGAACTGCAGCTGAGATACCCATTACAGTCCAAGATGAAGGCAGCAGTCTGTGGGGGCAGGAATTGTGAGAACAGGTAATTTGTTCATTGAAAGCTCTTTTGGGCCAGAAACTTCATGCACAACAGCAATGAACATCTCTGGGCCAGACTGTCATTGCAGCCTGCAATTAGTTTGTCAAGGAAGAAAGAAAGGAGGAGGAAGGAGCTGGACAAAGCGATGGCTATAGCCTTTATCTGTCCTGTTACCTCATCCTCCTCCAAGGACCCTGGAGGATGTTACTAACAGAGACAATGCAGCCCACAGCAGCAAGAGGATGGGCACCACAGCCTCCACACAAGGTTTCAGTCTGGTTGAGTTGGGGTGATCAACATGCTAACTTGGGAAGAAGACATCATTTTCACAAGCAGCACTTCCACTAGCATCTCTGAAATCTGGTGTCAGCAATCCAAAATTCAGGGGCCAAATTCAACTCAAACTTCCTTGTTCTTTAGAGCCGGCAAACACCACACACACTGGAGGAAGAAGGCACACAAGTCATCTCTGCATGACTGCAACAGAAGGTTAAACTGGGAGGAGCAACAAGGGAGCACAGAGGTCTCAACAGCTGATCTACTCCTTCTGAATCAATGCACTGAGACCACAGCTTGCCCTTACTTCATGCTGACTTCACCTCCTCCCTCCATCAATACACCAATTGAGGACTTGGGCTGTGCTCCTGATTGCCCAGCACGTGGGATTAGCAGCAGCTGGAAGCCGGAGCCTAACACTATTTCATCACTCACACACTTGGATGAGAGCCAGTCAGTCTAATCTAGAGCCCAACCTCTCCCTCCCTTCTCAGTGCTAGAGAATGTGCAGACTTGCACTTAACCATACAGGATAGGACCCAGCTGAAGAAACAAAACTAAAGGCCCAAAGGACACTCACTACTTGCATACACGCAGATTGAAAGTTCTCTGAGGTCAGGAGGCCTCATATTAGTGACGCTGCAACTCCTTCCTCAACACACAGAAAAGGAAATCCACTTCATCTGGGTATATAAGATGGGCATAAGGCTTTGGTAAAATGGTGATTCCAAGTTTGGAGGGCCAAAGAGGAGGCTGGGGAACTAAATAGGCTCTTGGTGCTCAAGCTGTAGGTACATAGTGGAAGCTTTTGAGAGAAAGAACAGGACAGGTGCTGGGCAACTGGACCCAGAAGGAAGAACAGCTCAGTAGCACATGTCAGTGCATGAAATTAGACTTTAAAAAAGCAGAGCTGAGAATCAGTTGCCTACATATCAGCACTTAGTGAAAGTTTAGGCCTCCAGATGCTAACCTAGAAAGGTAACAGGTATTGTATTGTGTCAGCCAGCGCCAAGTGCAATCTTGGACATGTTCTAGGAAGTCTCAGGAGGGCACTGGCAGGTAATCAAATCACTTCCAACTGAAAACATGGAGGTTTCAACATCACTAGGCAGAGACACCCCTGTCCCTCCTCCCCTGCTGAGGGAAACACACTACCCACAGTTACTGACCTGGGCTGTGCTTTAACAGGGAAGGCATTGCCTGAGTACTGCTTGTCTAGACCCAGCAGGACATCATGAAGATTTTGGTTCAACTGCAAAATACAAAAACAAAAGAAAGGAAAAGAATGAGAAAAGAGCACGAGTGCCAGAAGAGAGTCTGGGCTGGCCTGCACAGACTGACGAAACATAGGCTTGTGCCCAGATACGCACACATATTCAGCTATCCCAAGAGAGAACAGCCCTAAATCTGTTTCCACTTCTCTGTGGGGTATGAAATGCTATTGAACATTCCCATGTTCCTCATAGGAATGCTCTTTCTTCCTTACAGATCACCCTTTTAGCTTCTCTATCACTTGGCCCTGCCGCTGTGCTGCCTGGTGCCACTGCAGAAGCAGGGTGAGTGTTTATCTAAGGGTCTGTGTGCTGGAACTGAAGCTTCACTCTGGATTTGTAGCCAAAAGCTGTTCCTCAGACCTGCTTATCAAATCTATGGCCATTTCAGCTGTGGAGTCAAAGGCAACTAGACTTCAAGTCAACAAGCTTTAACTTCACAGTCTGCCTGGGCCATCTAGGTTTAGGCAGCACCTAGATATCTTTGCAGAAATTAGGGGTTAAACGCTCCCTGGCACCAAAGGCTGCAACAGTCACTTCAGACACTCCTACTCTGAAACAGCCAATCCATAAATAAGATGAGACACCAGATTTAACAGTGGTAGGAGGAGGGATCCCATGTAATCAGTGTCGGAGGCATTTTGCAGGCAACAACAGCAGTTAATTGGATGTTGTAGCAGTAACAAGAAACAGATGGTTTTTATGGAACAAAGCAAAAGCTCTGGTCTCATACAAAACTCCTCAAGAAAGAAAAATCTTGACATCATACAAGAAGAGCATTCCTGTCTAACAAGCACCTTCCCCATGTTTTGTTGAATGTAAGTTAACAGTAACAAACTGATAATTATAACAACCCTCCCTATTCTTAACAGTTCATCCCTCAGTGGAGAAGAGCAGGCTATTAATTGGAAAAGACCCCATAAAATGTCAGCAGGGCTCAAAATTGATGCATTACACCAAGTCAGAAGGCCCCTGACTGTTGGGAATTGAAGGACTATAATGTTTCCTGTTGCTTAGCAGCTGCCTTGTTGTCAGGATGACATTGGGGAGTGGAGGGAATATAAGGGTTTTCCAGCTGGGCTCTCAGTCCCTCCTCAAGATTAGTGCAACATTTACAGAGGGCGTGCAACTCCTAGAAGCAGCATACAGACCTAAGGAATTCAGGAGTCTTCTCTAGCTTTTAATTGAAAGAACAAGAACGTATTTGTAAATTATACTGGCAATGGAAGACTTTCCCACAGACTGGTCTGGAGGTCTCCTCTGGGTACTGGCACAGAGCACCAGGATCCAGCTTGCCACCACCAGCTTACAACACTGCTTACTGCTGTGATTCCCAACTCATGACAAATTAGTAGCCCATATAAGGGCCATGCTAAGTACTCAAATGCCTTCTTCTGGGTCACAGGGCAGGAAAGAAACCAAAGCAGAGAGGTACTGCAGGGAAGTGCCTTCTTGAGGGACTGGAGTGAGGCAGGTCTCAGTCTTTAGCCAACTTGCAGACTGGCAGATTTCCTGCTGTTTTCAACCCCACAGCTAGGCTGGATGAGGGTACACAGCAACCTGCTACCAGGCAGCAGAGGAGGAGGAAAACAGATACCACGCTGAATGTGCCCAGGTTATAGGTTACGGATCCATAATGGAGACGAACGAAAAAATGTAGCAAGAGAGAGATCTGAGAATGGCTTCTCTTTCCTCTGTGGATCTGCAAAGGAGCGCTGTCAAGTGACACGAACTCCCCACTGCTGCATGGCCCTGCAGTCTCTTCCCTGTACTCCATCTCTTTACATTACTATGTCAGACAGCCTTTGTCCAATGAAAAAAACTATGGGTTTATATTTTTCTCTGATTCAGGGCTGTTTTTTCCTGACAGTTTTTTGGTTGTTTTTTTGTTTTGTTTTTTGGGTTCTTTTTTTGGTGGTGGTGGTGGTGGTTGTTGTTGTTTTTTACTAGCAGCGAAGAGAGGATAAATAGGATAAGCTGTCAGTTGCCTTACCTTGCTCATTTCTTTATGGAAGTTCTCTTCTAGGCCTGCTATACTCTGGAATGTGTTGACATAGAAACCAACACGACTGCCAAATGAAAAACAAGACAGAAGAACTTAATGGACACAATGCTCTCCCTACACTTTTCAATTCTGCCCCTTCTGCTACGTTTCACCCACCATTCCCATTTAAATTGAACTCTGTCAGGTCTGGTACATGTGGAAAGAGAAGGGTGGCAGGGGAGTGTGAAGGGGGTGATGGAACAAAGGCTAGGTACGGGGCAAACATATCCAAAGGGAGAAGGAGACCAGCGATATGATCTGAATTTGTGCTGGCTAAAGGGAGAGGGAGGTGCAGGGCAGGGAGGAAAGAAAATAAAAATATGAAAGAAGGGGAAAAAAAGGTGCCTGAATAGGAAGATGGAAAAAGGATGGAGGCTGTGATGCAGACAGAGTGTTGGGAGAGCTGGGGGAACTAGCAGGATGATAGATATCAATTCCCTCTGAAGTCCCTCAGCAACAGGGGAAGCAAAAAAGCATGAACTGTTTGCTTCAGAGGCAGGAAGAGTACGAAAGCACAGGATAGACACAGCAAGCAATAGGGAAGCAGAAGGATCAGCTGAACAGCAGGAGTCTGTGAACAAACTGTGGCACCCTAAAATCTCAGCAGCCTACTGTCACCCACTTGCCTCTAGCCAGCCTGCCAGCAGCCAACAGAGAGTGCTCTACCAGCACTCAGCTGAAGGAACAACAGCAGGAGCGAGATGGTCACCAAGGCCAGTAGCATCATGGTTCTGCACACAGAAACACCCAGATGCCTGTATCCCTCCCAGCTCCTTTCTCAGTCAGGCCTGCAGGCTGCTTTGAGCAAGGACACCTACCCCGGGCTGGACAGAAGGCAGACATCAGCACTTCACTTTCCCACCCTGCTGCCACCCACTCTCCATTCCCCACAGACCAGCACTGCCAACCCAGACATGACTGCTGCATTCAAAAATAAGAAACTGGGACACTTCTAGGAAGATTTTGACTGCTTTCCACTGTGCCCTCCCCATAAATCAGCCTCTGCTGCCCTACAGGTCATCCTTCAAGCTAAATGTCAGTCTTTTTCTTTCACCTCCCTTTTCATCACCACAGTATGGCAAATCCACGGTCTCTCAAGTGTTCCAGTAAAGTTGGGCAGAGTTGGTAGGGCAAAAGGATTAACTGGACAAACAGAGAAACACAGTTTCTCCCTGTGGTAGAACTGTATTTTTCAAGAAAATCATGAAGCAAAGCCCAAAAAGCACAGGGTGAATCTGGCTGGGGGGAAAATCCTAGGACAGACTGAGATGATCCAGAAAAGAAGAGCCCACACCCCGTCCGCACCAAGAGCTTGGCTATTCACTTCCTTCCAACCAGCCCTCGGGAAAACTTCCAGCACTCACCTATTCCATAGTGAAGGCAGTTCCTCCTGCAGATCAACATTCATCTCTTCAAACACCTTCTGAGCCTTTACTAACTCTTCTTCAGCCTTAATAACAGAGATGGGAGATTGTCAGCTCCAGTACAGACAAGTATCCTGCAAGGCTGAGACAACTGTGACTCTTTTGACTTCTTTGGGAGACCAGGCAAAATTCTGGCATGAGGTAATCAGCATCCCAAGTGAGTCTCCCAGGAACCAGGGTTGCATCATAGGTGACCTGATGCCCCTTCATCATGAATGTGTTACTCTCAGGCTTTCTCTCAATGGCTTTCCCCATTTGTATACTCAGAAAGTAATTCAAACAACAACTAATGTGTTTTAAGTTCTATAAATTTCCCTAGCTTCAAAAACTGAATGGAGTTGGTCAAGCAGTTCAGCCTTGAGCTTGGATATAGATGAAGGTAATAGGGCCTCTGTTCCTTGCCAGGTCCCAGAAAGAGTTGAAATCCATTCCAAATGGCATTAGAGAAGAATCTTCCCATGTGTGGACTCTTTATGCTCAGCTAACGTCATGCCAAAGCCCCGTCTCTTCCGAGGAAGGGAGAAGGTCTGCATCCTTGGCTGATACAGCTCTCCCACAAAGCTGATTGGAGAAGCAAGGAGAGTATGCAAAGCATGAGTTGTGCCAGCAGGAGGCCAGGCTGCAGGGCTTGAGCAGGACATCTTGGTTTCAGTGGTCTCACACAAGCACAACCCCTGGCTGGCTGTCAGCCACCAACACCAAAAGCAGTATGCCTCGTACAGGACCTCTTTCTTCCAGCTGAGAGTCTAAATTTGACCTGTTCATTGCACCTAGACACTGACAGATCCCAACACTGATGGATGAATTCTGTCAGGTTTCACTGACAAAAAGGACGATCCTCATTGTTCCTGACAGCAGGCACCAGCAACAAGCCCATTCCCCTTCCTACATTTGTCCCAGGTAATTTCTTCCTCTTTTCAGTGCCCTGACTTAAAACTCAAAGTTTTCTAAATAAAATTTTATTCTGTTTTTATTCTGTAATCTACAACAACACAGCATTCTCCCATAACCCTGTGCAGTGGGTTACAGGATGGAAAAATCCCTGCATGAGCAACTTGACAACACATCTTTATCAGTAAGGTCAGCACAAGTGCCTATACATGCGACAGCAGCAGGAATGTCACAACACCACAGGCCTCTGCAAAGAGTTCACAAGCCACAGGAACTGGATCTCCCTACGAGCCTGCAGTCAGATTTCTACCCCTTCTAGAAATCAAGTTTTATCTTCTTTGTGCCAGCTTAATTAAAGAAATCCAGCTTACTGCTCCTTAGTGATGCATACACACAACAATAGGATTGATGGGCAAAAGGGCTTAAAAATATTTTGCAGTTCAGAATCCTGTTCCTCACAGAATTGTGTAGGATTCTTACACTCTGTTTCTCTCCTGACTTATGAGCAGGCCACAGAAGCTCCTACTTTCCATCTAGCTCCAACTGTAAGCGAGTTGTTCATTGCTGCCCAAGGAAAGGCTAAGGCTTTGTACTCAAGATCACAGGAGAAAGTTTACTCCAGAGAAAGACACAACTGGTAAGTATTCAAAAGTTAAGTAGACTTTGTGAGGAACAGACAGGGGGAGAAGGGGTCATGATGCTTCCACCCAGAAACCCCTGTTTCGCTGCTACACTCACTGAAAAACTTAACATTTCAAGAGTTTGCACAAAACCACCAAAAACCCTTTTAAACAGAGACACAGTTTACGCTGAATCAGAAACAATGATCACAAAGACTCATTCTGCCTTAAAATACCTCTATGAATGAATACTTCTAATGTAACCATTTTAAAGGAAATAAAAAACCCAGTCCATCCCTTTGGCTTTACCTTATTCTAATTTCCAAACTATAATGGAACCAGAATCAACCCAGGAGATGTGGTAGCTGGGAGATGAGGCACCATTGAATGCTGTTAGTTTTACAGATATGGTGAATAGTAATAACATTCTTTCCCTCTCTCGTTTACCTGTTTATAAGGTCAAAGAACCTAGAAAGCAATGTGTGAATATTGTGACATCCCGAGGCAAAGGCAAAATCAGCAACAGGCAACGTTCACTCTAGAGTAGTTGTAGGAATCAGGGATCCATCCAGTGCCTGTGGCTCAGCTACTGCTCTTATTCCCAGGTCTAGTACTGAATTAATTCTTCAGTCCTTTATTAGTCCAGGGATTTTCTCACCAGTGGGATTTACTTTGCTTGGAAGCAGGAGTCCTGGCACTTGACAGCCCTCACTGGTTCCAGCTAGAGCCGAAGACAGAGACAACCTGGTCACAAGGCCTGCTAGAGGACAAGCCTGCTCATGAAGTAAGGTGGGGAAAGGCAGACACAGGTTTCAGAGCAGAGCCCATTGCTACCATAGCCGTGCATTTTCTGTTTCAGCTACCACCCTTGCCAACCTGATGGAAGACTGAGGCCAGAACGAGGTAATGCCCAGGTCCACAAAATACAATCTCAGAAAATCTTTCTCTCCTCTCCCTGCCTGAAGGGGGAAGGTTTGAGCAGAAGCTGGACAACACAAATGCTTTCCTGACCTTTCACCTAGCCAAGGCTCAGAGTGCCAAGCACCACCAGTTCAGTTGTGATGGAGGGCAGGGGAGGAATTATTCCACAGTTTCTCTTATTACCATGCATGTCAGCTCTCATGAGTGTCTGGCTATGTCCAGCCTGGTGATTTCAGACCATCTGGTGACCATTCCTCTTCAGAGACTATGCTGTGAACTGTGGTAATTAAGCACTGCTCAGTAAATAGTTTAGATATCCATGAGGCAGGATTAAGGAGGAGAGCTGGGAGCCTCCCTAGCCCCACAAATCTCAGCCAGACTCAGCTCTCAGAAGGGCAGCACAGCCCAGGACTCAACTTACTGACTTTCTCCTACAGAGAGAGATATTTTTCTGTTATCATTGCAGCACCAAGGATGTTGCTTTTTAGATTCAGCATGTCAATGGAGCTTAGTCAAAAGGCAAGAATTTGCTGTTCTAAGCCATTTCCCCCTTTGTTTCAAAAAGCACAGTCACTAAAATTTGTAAGTGGGAGCATGCAATAGCAACTCCCCCAGGAGACTTCACAAAAAAACCCCACTGTTGTTTTTGTTAGTATCTGCTAAAGTCCTAAAGAGCCAGTGGTATGCACACTGGAGGGAGGGACTTTGCTTCACAGTAGAAATAACAGATCTCACTGACCCCATTTTAGCACAGAGGTTGTAAAATTATCGGGCAAGAAGAGACAGCAACACAGCTGCTGGTAAAAGGAAAGACTTTTTTTTTTAGTCTTAACATTCTGAAGCTTCTCAATAAATGGAGTATCATCAGCCCTCCCAGTTTTATCAAGAGCTTAATGAGATTTAGGGCTGTCATTAACACCTTCAGTCTTGAAGTCACGCAAATGTAAAAACTGCCTGCTCGTGTTTGGGAAGGCAAGCTGGAAAAACCTACAGGTTCAGAATACAAGCTAACCTTCTTTATTGAGGAGGTTTTTTGTGTTTTTTGTTTGGTTTGGTTTTGGGTTTTGTTTGGGCGTTTTTTGTTAGTTTCCAATAAAAATAAAAATTAAAATAAAGAGGAAAAAAAACCACAACCCTGAATACTCACACAAGTAGAAACAAAAAATTAAGGTGGGCAATAATATTACTTAGCTCAAGAATGAAAGCGGAAAAATCTTCGAGGACTTAAATTGATTTGAGAGTATCTGTGGTCACTGAAAATATTAAAGCTGTGTATTAGGAGATTAACACCCCCACACCACAGTGGGTGGAAAGATTACACAGTCCCTTGCATATGCTTTAGGACAAAGTCACATACAGTGAAATTTTCAGATGACTCTTGGTACCCTGTCTAAGATCTGAGTGCATGGATGAGGGGGCACTTGTAGGTACTGGGCAATCTGTGAGTAGTGGCATTACTCTCACTAACTCCAGCCAGTCTGAGAAGACAGAAAATGCCCAAGAGCTGTTTTATTTATATATTTATTTGTGGCTTGAGAAACTTCCCATACCTGCTTTCTAGTCCTCCAGAAATACCACCAGTCAAACAGACCAATCAAGAATCACAACTGTGCAGACAGATCCCAGCTGGGCCAGCAGAGGCACGGGAAAAGCCCCTGGCAGCTTGCCATCTCTCCTCCCTTCAATCAAGAATGAATACATATTTCCTCCCTTTGCTCTACATCTTAAGCAGGGTTGTTAACAGCTCTTCTTCCTCCAGGCTTTACTGACATGGTAATCTAGTTTTTTCCCTGATCTGCAGTCATAAACTGACTGTGAAAAACCCAGGTGCTTCTTAAGGTGAGAACAATTCAGTGTTTCTAAACTGAATTAATTCACTGACAAGGAATGTGAAGACATAGGAACATTCAAATGAGAACAGATGAGCTCACCAGGAACTTGTGAGCAGGTAACTGGCACTCTCCCAGTCTGGGTAATGATTTACCATCCCTTGCTCATTGAAAGCCTCTATTCACTGACTTCCGTCAACTCCCTCTTATCCCTGAAAGTGTTACAAGGGAAACACTGAGGGAGATTTCATCAGGAAATCACACTTCTATGCAAGTACGATTGAAATTTTATTTGCTGCAGTTCCTCTGAGCTGCTCTCATGTCCCTCAAAACACTATAACTTAAATTCTGACAGATGATGCGACGATGACCTCAACCTAGAACTGTTCAAATACATCACATAGGGTGCAACTTGCCTGATCTGGGCCCACCTCTTCTCCTACAGATTTTGAAACCCTGGATCTGGAAATGGCTCTTTTAAACCACAAGAGCCAGGACAGTGCCCATTTGGGAAACCTGGACTTTACCACAGGAGAATGTTGCAACCTAACTCAGCAGCCACAGAAATTGTAATGTTATTTCTTTCCAACTTTATTGAACAACATGACTGCATAAGTCAATTTTCCGGTGTTTCCTCTTTTTCTTTTTTTGAAACAGTAACAATAAAAATTGACTGCTTCTCTTAGAGGAAAAAGAAAGCAATAATTGGATGAACTGTACTGCATCATCCTCTGTCTCAGCATTATTCCATAGCCTTTCTTCCTCCACATTTCATTTTAGGGGGAGGAAACAGTAGTCCAGTATTAACACACCTGACTAGAAATCAATCAGGCAGGCACAGATTCATTCACTGGTCAGCAACTTCCATGTGTCCGTGTGGCTCAGGAGCACCAAGGACATGTAACAGAGGAGACTAGAGTGAACGTTGCCTGGAGATTACTTGCATGGTACAATCTAGAGCCCAAAATAGCGCATGCAGGGTTAGAGCCAGGTAGATCAGCAGTCACCTGATTTCGGAGCAGATTAGTTTGTGCAACGAGGTGAGCTTGTAGCTTCCCTTGACACCACTGAGGCGCAGCTTTCTCAAGCAGCGAAACAGGCTGGGGGGAGGGAGCATGTTTGAGTGAAAAAAAGAACAAAAATAAACAGAGAACAAGAGAGACACAAACATATATCTTTTAGGATAAAAAAATTAAAATCACAACAGAGAGTGTATTTAGAGGCTGGGCCAAACCAGTATCACCAAAGCGAGAGAAAAAAACAAACATCCTGGGACCGATCAGTTATGAATCCTTTGAAGCATGCCAAGTTTAGCAGTAATTAATGCTCCCGTGTGGGCTGGATACTGCAGACCAGCCAGGCAGCTGTAAGAGCAACAAATACAGTTGTTAGTGACCTAGCACACAGACAACCCTACTCCAAGGCATGGCTGTGAAGTTGGAGCTCCTTAAAGAGAGGTCAGGATTAATTAACCATCATTATTATTTGCATGCAACAGCTGAAAGTCCATAGTGCTCTATTTTAATGGCAGGATGTAAGTTTAGCAATAAGAGGCAGGGGTCCTGGGTGGGAAAAGAACATCCATATATTAGAAAAGAGAGACCATATAGTGCCAAAAAGTATCGTATTGCTATTTTTGTTACTATACTATGAAACCTCAATCAAGTCAGTTCCCACTTGTATGCTGTGTCAGAAACATGATTTCTCTTTCCTAGGGGCCTGTCATCATATTCCAAAGAAATTTACAATGGAACAACCCTGCTTCAAAGGTCACACAACAAAACTGCAGGCACAGGAACAGAGAGGTGAACTACCTACACCAGCCAAGTGCACGCTGAGCCCCGGCTGTTGCCCACAGCCCGACAGAGCTGCACGACTGCAAATGTCAGACCACAGGCTGGATTGTGAAAACTGCTCACTTGGGAAGACCATACATACATAACTCTCTGGGACTTAGTGCTCCTATCTTTGCAGGATCAGGACAGTGCAACGTGTCACATATTATCCTGTGCATGAGCTTATGGCCCAAAGCACAGAGATCTGATCTGATCCAGTGCACATTTTGGCTCACAAGAAGAGTCCAATCAAGTACTAAGAGACTCTTGCACAGGATGAATCAGGAACAGAGCACCAACTCCTAAATCTCAAGAACTCCACTCTTCAAACTGCACTTTTTTTCATACTTGTTTTATCAACTTAGGTGAGCTTTGGGGGCAACAGCGAGTGCAGCAATGATGAAGGCAGCCAGCCTCTAGTGCAGAGCACCAGGTACCAACCTGAGTGGATCAATTCCTACAAAAACCATTTCCACTGCAGCAAAGATCTCACAGGCATGCACCAATAAAAATAACACACCCCATGGAAATTCTGGTCTTACTCACAAATGCAGTGAATTAGTGCTTTGAACTGAAGGCACAACCAGCTGGGCCTCATGCCTTGCATACAGAACGAAGACTTGCTTTGCCACACAAATGATACAAAGACACCTGGGCCATCAACCTCTCTCCCATTTTGTCTGTCAAGGTTAATCACAGTGCATGCACTGGGTGTGTAAATGATTGAAGAACTGCATCTTAACAATAAAAGTATTGTGGCCATTAGATGCACATCTTTCACTCGGGGAGAGATGCATCTTAATTTCTTCCATGCAGGAAATACACCAGCATCTCTCACGTAAGCCCATATTCCCCCTACCAGAAATAACTCTAAGCAAAGGATGACAACTCTTGTCAGCCTGTAAAAGATACAAATCTTTCCTGCACTGCTTCTACCCTGAAGAGTCCCAATGTGCCATGGCCCACACTGAAGAGAATTAAAGATGTCTCCCCAGCACTGGACTATTCTGTTGTGTCAAAAACTGTCCTGTGGAGTGAAGCACATGGATTCAAATAACTTGGGGTACAGGAGTAATCCACAGCTCATTTTCTGGGCAGTATTCAAACCATGTACCTACTCTAGAACAAAGTTAGCACTACGATTTTTTTTCAGCTTCATTAAAAAAAAAAAGTAAACTTTATTTTTAATTAAAATAAATTTCATTAAAAATAAAATCCTTCACTCGAGTGTTGGGCATGCTCTGCAGTAAACCCTGGATCAAGCTATTCACAGGCATGAAAGAAACATGACAGCCATATTTATTATCCAGTAATTGTGACCAACAGACAACATAACACATTCAACAACTGTGCATAGAGTGCACTTCCATCAACAAACTTGAAATTCACACTCCTAAGGGTCTCTGTCCTAGGATATCAGAGGACTTCACAAACACAATCCACCTCAAGCAACACTCAAACACTACTCTAAGATGGGGAGAGAGTCCCAAGAAGCAGGCAAACTGGAAAATTTTTCAGGGGCATTGCAAGGTTTTGCTTCCCCAAGAGATGCATAGGCTTTTGAGCCAGAGGTTACTGGTCCTGTAGCATGGGAGTAAGCACATGCATTTAGCCACCAAGAGATGCAGACTGATGATGGTGGGTCTGAACCAACCCAGCAGAGGCTATCCTGTCTTCTAGGAGAACTAAACAAATGAGAAGGAAATACCTAGCAAAACCTCACCAGTTCACAACACCGCAATGATCTTAAAGGTCCTTTCCAATGTAATTGATTCCATGAAAACACAGTGAAGAGCTACAGGCGCACTTAAAAGCTGCTCAGTAAGCAAACGCAAAATGATAGGATGGCTGCATATCCTCCTGTTTGCTTTACCTTTGCAATTTTGGTTTCATCCTTCTTCTTTGCAGTTTGCAGGGCTTCAAAGTGGTGTCTGGCACTGTCATAATCCACAAGCTTCCTTCCTCGCTTTGCTATACGAGACTAAAAAAGAAGGAGAAAAGAGTCATGCCAATCTTCTCCAGCAGCCAAAATTGCAAAACCTCTCAGGAAAACAACCCTCCTCTTCACCCAATTTTCAGAGCACCCCATGCTCTGCCCACACAAGGACACTCACTGGATCCTCCATACAGGCTGCCCAGAGAAGTGGCCATGGGAGCCACCTGTGACAACCACCACTCTAGAGGGAGCTCCTCAGGAGGCAAGCAGACAAAGCCAGGGAAGGTAAAGGGATCCAACCAACAGGTCCCACCTCTGGCTGACATTAATGTTTTCAGAACTGTAGCTCCATTGTTTCCTAAGCCCCACTGCTTCATCATTTTCAGGGCTTCATGGGGGCTGCAGCCAGTCTCTAACCAGTTCACTAGTTTGTGTGGAAGCTTACAAGTATAAGTTCAACAAAAGAAGGCATTTTCATTGTGAGCACAGCAAAAGCATTCATCCATATGCTCAGGATATGCCTAGGACAGCCCTTTGGACCTTGTGACAGGAGCTGCAGACAGAAGTGACTGCAGCCACGGGCAGTGGTCTGCTGTCAGTCACTACTGAGCAAGGGCAGTGTGAGGGAAAACCTGCAGCACTGTATAACCAATAGGCAAGACACACCAAAGCTGTAACAAACACAAGGGTTTGTTGTGAGACTGTGTACCAGACTCAGACTCAGGAATGGAGTCCTGAGAAATCCATGGTTGTGAATCCAGGATAGAAAGGCAGACCTTTGGCATGATCCTCTCTTACCCTTCATCATCTGAGGTGCCTCAGGCTCTCTCCTCCAGCAGAGATGCACTATTTTGAGGCTCTGGTCCACTGGGCTGCCCTCTTTCAGGAATTATCCATCCCCTCAGACCCTTGCCTCCCACACTATCTGCAAACACCCCAGACTATCTGGGTTGGAGCACAGGTCTTCCCAGCCTGACCCTAACCCCCAGCAGCTCAGAGAGTCTGGACAAGCGTCTGTGATCCGCAGTCTAGAGACAGGCTGGAGAACAGAGTGAAAAGGCATGGCAAAGAGCCAGGAAGGCTTCTAATTAACCACATCACCCAGGGACATAGAAAGTGCAGAATGAGGAATCAGCATTTGGATTTACTCGCAAAAGCAGAATCCCCCTCTCTACTGCGCTTGGCAGGGAGGTAGGGTTTCGTCTCCCCAGGCTCCCGCAGATAAGCTGCAAAACTGCACTCAGGGCTGATCTCTCTGCCAGACCAGCTGGGACCAGTTCGCACGTCTCCCACACATGCTCCTATGAACTTCCAGCAAATGCTGGTGCAGCTCTGTGTGAGTCACAGCAGATCTGCAGGATCTCAGCCACACACACACCCAAACTGATTTCTAAATGTTCAGCTAAATCGGAGAGGAATCACGAAGAAGCTGAGCCACCCCACAACTGAGGTCACTATAAGATATCTCCCAGACATCATGTTGCCAGCCAGGAGACAGGGTATTGCAGGGGGCTCCAGCAGAATGACAATCTCTGAGATGCTAGTTAATGTATCTTGTGAACGCACCAGATAAAACACATGGCCCAATCTGGGATTTGAGGAATGATTTTTCCCCCAGGTCAGACTGGTAGAGATAGCTGGAATTTTCCCCACCTCTGACAAAACAAACAGCCACTTCCAAGTTTTTCTGCTACCCCACCAGGCAGTTTGATTCAATGTCACCCATCTCTCAAACAAGGTCACTCCTCCCTGTTTTTGCAGCTCCTGATCTTCTAACACCCACCCTCATGTTTCCAGTAGAGTACATGGAAATGCTGCAAAGTACAAATACAGTGTGTGTGAGCCCTCCTGGAGTAACCACTGTCCACACTGTCCACACCACTGTCCACACCACTGTTCACGCCACTGTCCACACCACTGTCCACACCTATTACTGCCTGCGATGGCAGTAATAGGATTTAGCCCAGTCTTGGAAGACTACAGGAATTCCTTGTATGGCTCTAGGACAACTGAAGGTACCCACCACTAAATGCATGTAATAGCTGAACTCCAAGAGAGTTTACTACTTTGCAACAAATCCATCTTAATTTGAGCCTCCTAAAAAAAAAAAAAAAAAAAGAGAGAAAAAAGGAGAAAGAAAAACAAAGCCAAACCACACCCTCCTTTACTGATTTCATTTTAAACCTAGTAGGACACCAGTTTCAGTGCAAGACAGAAAATTACAAACTCCACAGCTATTCAGAACTTGGGTGACAGTTTATCTTCCCTGGGCTCACTGCAGAGACTTATATTCTTATTGCACATTCTGCAAAATCAACAAAAAAACTCACTCAGAAATATTAAAGATTATGCAAGAATCCTACTCTAAGAGGTACAGACAGTGACCTGCAAAAAAAGATAAAGTACTTTTTGTATTCCCTTTTGCCAAGTTAGAGAAAATAGATAGGCTTTGTTCAGGGGTGAACAACCAACATTGGACAAATTATTCTCTTTAACATACAAAATCCCTTGCTAAAGCAATACTATGTTTTCACATTCCTGCTGTGCATCCCTTTGCAAGTCCAAAAAATTCAAGGGAATTTTTCCAACCCCTCAAATGAAGACAAATTCAGAATAAGTTAGCATTTAACAAAAAATAATGCGTGCATGATCTAACTCATCACATATTTTGAAATAATAGAAAACAGGCCTTCACATAACTAAAATAAAATCATCTTCTCTCTAAAAATCATCTTTTGTTATCACAATAATGTCAGAATTCCAGGAAAAACAGAAAATTTTATTTTGTGGAAAACAAAAACCAGAAAACTATTACCACAACAACAAAAAGCAACTCAAATATTGTGTAAACTACATAAGACTGGGTGTTTTTTTCTGCCAACCTCAAGAACTCTAATTCCTTCTGTGAAGCCAAACTACACATCTGTACAAGCGTAGAAACCTTCAACAACTGCATTTCTAGGAGTTTCTACCAGTTGAAGAAAATATACTTGATCTGAACACTTCTCAGTGCTCTGGAGTAAGGAACATGATACATCCAGGTGAATGACCAATAAAAACATACTGACTTTTTTAAATCCATATCACTGGAAGTCCATTTGAAAGAAATAGCCAACTCTTGTGAAATATATCCATATTTTATTATAAGAACCAACATAAAACCAAGTTCTCACTCATTTCAGGAAGGGAAGCAGAGGTGAGTAGCGCTCCCTTTAAAACATTACTCGAATTGTGCATAAAGTTGCTTTTAGGCAATAATATAAATTTTTCCTCTTTTAGAGCATCATCTGAAGACTGAGAAAGAATGTTAGTAACAAACACCTTTGTGGCCCATTCAGAAGTCACAAAGTATCCATGGGAATTCAGTACCTAACAGCTTGAGTTTTGGTGGAATTTGGGTGGTCCCGAGTCTTGTGCTCCTCTTAAAATCCCACTGTAAAAGCTCAGCAGGACCCCATCAGATTTAAGAAATGATGAAGATACTCAACATGGGAAACATGACACTATGAGGTGACCCAGTGCACAGCCAATGACGCTAGTAAAATGTGATTTGGACCAAAACAGTGCCAAAGTCTGAGCCTACAGCAAGCACCAAATAAACCCTCCTGCTTAGGAAGCAGTGCACAAAGCTCTGCAGTGCTAACTGAGGCACACGGCATCACCCTACATGGAGTGATCAGCTCTACAGCCTGCAGTGGGTGGAAAGCAGCAGCAAGCCTCTTCGCCCTTCCCCACTTCAGACGTCCAGGGTCAGAAGAGGCTGAAAAATGAAGCAAAAACAAGGAGTCCCAGGAGACAAGGACACTGCTGTTCAGGGCTCATTTTACAAGCCTGTGACCTGCCCCCCTTTGATACAGCACAATCCTCCTGAAGCAACAAATATTGACAAAAGTTTTAGGAGACATGTGGTGGAGAAAGGGTTGTTTTCACTGGAAAGTATCCAAGCTGATACTTCCATATGGTGATATCATTACTAGTGCTTCCATATGGCGAAGACATTTCCTGCACAATCCTGAAAACGAATGGAGAGGAGAGAACTGTAGGGGAAGGGAAGGTCACAGGACTTCATTCAAACCCAGGTCCTTGGATACGATCTCTCCCAAAAAGATATCCAGCATTCCCCTTTCCCTGAAAAAAGCTGTTTATACACACAGCAGGACTTCAAGGACTCACAGAAATCTGCCTTCCACACCAGTCTCTACTTGTAAAGTACATTTTCCACCAACTTCTTCCTCAATGTTTTTGTGCTTACAAGGAAGTTAAAAGACAAAAGGACTAAAAAGAGAGATTGAGAATTTCTGAGCTATTGCTGACACTGCCCCCCTGCATTCTGATGCAATGAGGAATTTGATGGATCCTCCTGTTTCACACTTATGTTTTCTCTTCAGCATCTTTCCCCTGGATTCTTCACTCTCATTTTAAGCCCAAAAGTAGAACAAAACATTTTCACATAATCCAGAGCTGCAAGCATCTTGGCTGCTCTCAAAGAAAACCTTGGAGCAGCATAGCACACACATCCTCCTAAAGAAGATGGAGATGCAAGAAATTGATCTTTTGAGGTTTTATCTGCTGTTAATCTCTAGATGAAAAGATTTAAAAAGAATCTTACTTTGATATCTGGAAATTGGCCAAGGTATGTATCCATGGTCAGAAGTGCTTGATCCACCAGCTTCTGATGGAAATCTGTCCATAGGAGATCATTATTCTGAAAAACAAAAGTAATGAGCTAACTATTAAGAACACAAGGCTCCACATTTCTATTTTTTCTCTGTGAATGCTACAGCCAACAATCTTAGTTCCCCAGAGCTCTTAAGAAATAGCAATTTCTTTGAAAAACTAAGGAACAGAGAAGTTAGTTGAAAACAGAGATCTTGGCAGAAATCTACAAAGCCTGATGCTGCTAATTCAGGTGACCTCTCCAAGAACAAAGTGCCTTTGAAGACCTGTCTTTTCTCCTGCAATGTTAGATCAAGTCCTTACAATGGAAGGGAAGATGAATGTCAGGCTGGCTTTACCTCCTTCTCCCTGCAGCCACAAAAATGGGACACCTGACACCTCGAGGCACCATTTTCTGCTTTTCATTACAAAACAGCTTTCTGGAGGATCATGAACAATAACAGAAAGCTATTCTAGCAGTCTTCAGCCCTCACACCACCTGCATCCACAGCCCAACAGAGGTCACAGCCAAGACTTGTATCCTGAACTGTGCACATTTTATCCTTGACCTGATCTCAGGCACAGTAATTTGCTATCAACACTTTGAATTAGGTGTAAATCATCCCTCTCTCCTGTTTTTTCACTTGAACAATGGGTTTTGGCTAAAACATTCAGGAAAAACTACCACTTTATGGTTTTTATTTGGCAGGAATAACACTTCTCTCTCACCTGTCTTTTCACAAGAGGAATATAAACAAGGCATTAAAGGGGGAGGTGGAGGGTTAGAAATATTCCTGCAGACTCAAAGAGTAGCTACACTGAGTTCTCAGGACTCCTGCTCCCTTTGACCTCTCTGGCTCAAATTTTCTGAAGGGTCAGTCTTCCAGGAGGCACCACAGCAGCTCAGGAAGGAACAAGGCCAACAGAGAATGTGAAGCCAAACCAGCTGAAATGCAACTCCATTATTTACTGCAAGAGTACTTCCTAATGCAAAGTTTCCATGCTAATGCAAGAATTGACCTGGAAATGTTCAGGTTTTGTTTGATTTATCTGCTTTGAAGTCATTATTTCCTGGGCAAGATGCAGATGTTACTTCAGGTGAGATCTTCTGCAGGGAAAAGAAGGGGAAGGAAAGAATCTTTCTCCTGCTCTCTTGTCTATTCCTTCACCACTGCTCTGATGCCACAGACAGCAAATAAGCCCAATCCTGCAGCTTCATGGCAAATGGATCCACAGAGCTGAACTGCCACAGCTGCTGCTCAGCAGAACAGCTGAGTAAAATAGCAGAGGGTGCCTGCCTCCAGCTGGACCCACCACATGCACATGCCAAGGGGGATCCAAGCTGTCAAATGTCAGGTTGTGCCCTAAGCTCCACAAAACACACCTGGGCAATTTGGATGAGCATCACCTCACCAAGGGATGAGAAGAACAGCAGGTTGGGGTGACACATGGCTCAGCCAAACAAGGAAGCAACTGAAATAAGGCAGCTGGTGGTACTGCCATGACTGAGAGGTTGTTGCAGCTACGCAATGGCTACACCATGCTGTGGCCACAGATTTATCTTCTTCTGTCTCTTGCACAGAGCATAAGCAATACATCCAGTTAACCCTATTGACTCTTTTGTCATCCTCTGTCCCTGTTTAGCCACTTTTAGCAGAACAAACAGCTTTTGGGCATAAGCATACCACTCTGTGTAGCATAAAAACATCTGGGGACAGTGTCCTACACAGACAACAATACAGGCCATATCTTTTCAGCCTTCCTTTCTTCCCAATGCTGAGTTTGTCTCCAGTTCTTCTGCAAAATCACATGCCTGAAGAAATCTGGTGCACAGACATGGCTTTCAAAACTCATCTCTACTGACAGAGCAAGTTTGGACATTCCCACATCCTGGACAAAGTCTTACCTCTGCTATTTTATTTGTGTCATCTCTTCCAGGCCAATCTGGCTCATAAACTTCCTGCAAACACTCTGTCAGCTTCTTGGAGGCCTCGTGCATAGCTAGGAAAGAAGAGGGAAGGGACTTTTCAGAAAAAGAAGAAAAGTATACATTCCTCACAGTTTAACCCTCACCCTGAGGAATGGAGACACAGGAGACTTACTAAATGTCTGACCCTTGATAACACAGAGACAGAAGGTAACCAGAGGGAGAAAGGAATGAAGGATGCAGTTGCATCAAACCCTTTGTGCTCGTCCTCCCCTAGCAGAACATAATAAAATCTATCTACTAAGATAGCACCAAGTTTGGCACAACCCCATTCCATCCCAGCTGGTCCTGAAGGATTCAAAAAAATCCATCGCCAGACAAGGCTGACCTTTCCTACAACTCACACCTGAGGAACATCAGGAACGGGGTGGCTGCAGAAACCTCACTGTGTAGGTAAGCACTAGAGGGGAAACAATCCTCTGCTTATGCAGACCTTACCTTTCACGGAGGCCAAGTAAGTTCGGAGGTCCTTCTGCAGCCTTGTGCCTTCGGACTGTGAACATAAGGGGAAGATCATCAGTTATTCTCTCATATAAAGACAGCGTAAGAAAGAGGAGTCAAGGATTTCTAATTAAAGAAAACTGATCTTGCAGATGGGCTATACCCCAGTCCCATGACCACATGAAACACAAATGTTAACAGGAAGACCACACAGTCCTCTGACTTGGCAAGCCCACAACCAGAGGCCTGCAGGCATGTTTGGCCAACAATACAACAAGGTACTGAGTAACCTCATGTGGGCAAATCTGTGATTTACTCTTCCCAGCAGAGCCAGCTTTAGTGTCTTGGTTTCATACAGAGAACTAGAAAGTGTTCTGAGGGCAACAACTAGTTTATGTGCCAAGGGCTAGTGGGTCCATGCAACAAATGGAACTGAAGGGAGTCTGTAGGATACAGAAGAGAGATGCAATTGATTTAATTTGTACTGGTTTTGAAGCAGTTTAGCTCACTACTTTTTCCTGCCACACTGAAAAACAAAACCCCTGTGTGCAAAGTGGTTACAAGGGACGTGTGACCAACCCAAACATCGTGTCTGAATTGTTCTGGGCAGCAGGACTTGCAAATACAGTTAATCATCTTTAGCTTTACTGTGGAAGTGGCCTGCCAGCAGCAGATCTCACTCACTAGAAAACAAAGGATTAAAACCAGAAGCTAGGCTGAATTTTAACAGTTTGAGCCTTCAGATGACACAGCTGAGTGTAGCACAAGAACTCAGATTAGAAAGGGTCACAGAGACTTTTACATCAAGTTGATTCAGGCACGCACACATACATGAAGTCCTTATACAACTGCTGTCCTGCACTAGGACAAGCATAGTCAGGCTCACCTCCCCTCCACCTTGCCATATGTCATCAACAGTGGGGCAAAGAAGTACTCCCAAACCCAGACAGTAACATTATAGACAGAAATTAAGAGAAAAGCAAGGCTTGAGAAGTTGACTAATACCACCACAGAGCATGTCAGCAAGGGAAGTAGTAAACATGGAGGACACCTGTGCAGGCAACCTATGGACTATGCAAGAAGTACAGAAAAGAGTTTGAGAGACACAGATCTCTGTTATAAAAGGGTTTCTCTTAACCTGAGGATCTCACTGGATCCTCACTATCCCCCCAAATTATCTGTAAAAACAAGAATGCAGAAAAGCGATCACTTCACCTCAGAGTCTGCAGTCTTTTCCTCCTCTTTCCCAGTTCGTGTCCCATTGGAAGGGCCCCCAGCATAATGAATTTTGACAGCTGAAGACAAGTCCAGAGATGGGAAGCTCACAGGACATCTCCAATAGCTGCCTAAGAGCTACCGTCTCCAAGAGCAGATGTTTCCCATCAGTCCTCCCCACCACTCAGGCACCTCTTGTCTCAACTGAGGTCATGCTGTCATCCTTTGTGCTCTCAGTGCAGCTGCACTCTCCAAGCAGAGGCTAAATCTGCCCAGCTGTTAAAGTGGCAGCGATAGCACAGCTTTGTGGGGAAATCCATCTGCTTCCAACAGAATGGCCCAATTTGTTTTCCATGCCTCGAAAGTTCTGGACGAGTTCATTGGATGGTTTACTGCCATCAACAAAGGAAATGAGGGATGAGAAAGAGCTGGCCAGTTTTACAAACGAAAGTCTCCTAGTCTGGAGAAGCAGTGGGAACCAACACAAACTGAGTGCAAGAGGAGAGGAATTACGATCACATTTGCTGTAAAAGTCCTAGAAGTTCTTAAAACACAGAGCAAATAAATGTTGAGCTGTTTGCTGACTTAAGGTGAATGTGGAAACCTGGGCACATCAAGACTTTCCTAATAATGCAATCAGAAAGAGATGCCAGAGTAATCGAAGAGCACACACACAGAGGGCCATCAGGGAGGCCAAGCCGAACAGCGGCAGTTTAATCAAGCTGTAACATGTGTTTGCTTGTTCCCAATGCAGGAAGCAGGAAAGTCTTGAGGAAAGCAGTGCCATCTGCCTAGAATTGGTTCATGCTAGAAATCATAGACTGAAACTGGCAAGATATGTCAGAACATAAGAAAAAAATGGCACAGAAGAAAATATGCAAAGTCCCTCCAATGGATACATTATCATCCTATAGCTGTATCATTTTTCAGAATGACTAAATTTGAGCATGCAACTTGGAGGTTATCAGAAACTAATCAGCAGGGAAGATCCTCTGCAGAACTTGCCCACTACACACTCAGGCACTGCAATGTCTAGAGCTGTAACATTCAAAACTACAGCATCTGAAAACAGAAGCCACCTCTAAAATTGTGTCCATACTTGCCCAAGTCCTGCCACAGAAGCAAATGACACAAGCCAAACTCAGAACTCTTTCAGTCTCAATACTCAGTGCCAAAGCCACGGGGACAGACGTATCCTCTGAGTGGAAAACCAGTATCACATTTAAACGTCAAATCAAGATTTTTAGATAGATCATCTGAAAAATCTACAAGTCAGGACCTGAAAACTGGAACATGCAATTGCAGCAATGCACAACTAGCCTTCTGTGTTCTCCAGGCATCCTCAACACCATTTGTCTTGCCACAGTGTACAGTCAGCCAGTATGTGATGTTGCATTTTATAACTGCGGTGGTCTTTCTCAGTCACCTCTTGCTGATGTTTAAAGTCAGACTTACAGCTGATCTCTGTGGCTGTGGGGTTACCTAAGTCTCTTAAAAGTACTAAGCCTGCCAGTTGAGAGTGAGCAGACTTTACAGCCTCTAAGATCTGCAAGCAGAATGATTTCTGAAGAGAAACCCATATTCAGAGTTTTTCCCAGCTCCCCTGGGCACCTGTGATTCCTGTCCAGTTCCCTCTTTGGCATTTCCATTGATTTATTTCTTGTCCACTAGTAAAGTAACTCCCTCTCTACAAAGGCTTATTTTTATTAATTTAAGCATTAATGCTTTCCCAAAAAACTTCAGGGAAACTTTAAGACCACTGCTTTTTCTCCATGTATGCAGCACCTGCTTTCTTCAAGTAGCCTACAGTGAGCTATTAAGTATTGCCACAATTCTGCATAAACTATAGAATCACTAAGGCTGGGAAAGGCCTCCAGTGACAGTTCATGAAGGGTATCAAAACACAGCTGCTCCATCATGCAGAAACACACCACAGTGCCATGTGTAAGGGCTGCCACCAGCCTCGCACTTTCTGTGTCTCCAGTGAGTATTTCAATGCAGGGCAAGAGAAGCCAAAGCCTGGCACGCCTCAGGCAGGGGCTGTGTTGCACCTTTACAATAGGCCTTTTGCTCCCAGGTCTGTGAGAATAATATCCAGGACAGATCCTTGTACTGATGCCTGAACACAGGTGACACTGGGAAAGGGAAGGAGGGGGGAGCCTTCAGATGGACTTCTGGCATGGTTAATTGCCAAAGATAATCGCCATGAGGGAGTAATATGAGAGGCTGTTCTGCTGCTTGTCAAGCCTTCAAGAGATCCAGGCAAGCCCTGCAGCTGCATGGTTATGTCCAGCTCATTTAGCACAAAGCCAATCCATCTGTCTGAGCTAAAAAGCTCCTACCATTCAGAAACCTCACAGTGGTACCCTTATATGAACCTGATGGACAGAGAGCGGGCAAGTGCAATGCCCTCCCTTATGTCCACTCAACTGCTATTTAAGAGAACACAAGATGCCTTGGTTGAAAATGCGTAAGTGATTTTTAGACCTGCGCTCCATTCGTTGACAGCCCACACAAGGAACATGTGTCAAAGCGGCTCAATACAGTCATTAGAGCCAGAGGAGCCTCTAATCAACCAGTGAACAAGGCCACTGCCTGGTCACACCCCAGCCAATTCCACAGGAGAGCAGAGATGTTCTGTCACCAGCGTGCAGCAAAAGATTGGCTTTCCTCCAGACTTACATTTCACACTGGAGCAGACTTTTTAATGAAAGGCCATAGAAATCTCATGGATAACTATACTACACAGACCTCTTATACACATAAAAATAAAAACAGGTATGTATCTATGCACATATAGCTGAATTTTTTTCCCTAATCTGCTTAGTATGATAACAACTCCTCAGCCCTGCATATCCTAACAATCCAGCTAACTCACATTTATGGATTGCCCCGTAAAAAAAGGTATAGTTTGCATTTATTTTAGTAATAAGGAAACTGAGGGCCAAAGCAAAATGAACAGATCACAAGCAGCAAATGCAGAGCATTGCCTTCAGCTTTTTTGATGAATTATTTGGGGAATTGAGTTCATGGTCTGCCCCTGCAAGATGGGAAAAGAAATTCAGATGTAAGGGGTACAAGAGAATGCTTCTTTAACAGGCTTCTTAGTGCACCACTGGAACTCATGGCTTTGGAAATTGAAAAACCATCCCAGACAGTCACATGTTAAAGTTTAGATTTGAGGGTTTTAGTATTTCTCCTTTAAAAAGGCTATTTCCTTATTGCTGATACTTAAAAATGATACAAGAAAAAGTCACATCTGGTAATCCCATGTTGTCAGAAAGAAGCCAAAATGTATTCCACTGTGTACAACAGAATATCATTGCTGGACATGCTATAGACATGTTGCGTGAACTTCTGGAGCAACAGCTACTATTGCTGCCAAGAGAATGAGCATTAGTCTCCAGGAATCTGCAGTCAGCTCTGGTTAGACATAAGTTAAAGTCAGACTGAAGGATTTTCATTATATTCAGCTGTGGCAAATCTCTTCTCAGCTGGTTTTGTGACACATAACCACATCTGTTGAGTCTTAACAGACACAATGCAGCTGCCACTAACAGCTCCAGAAAAAGGTACTAAATGTGTCAGGGCACAAAGAGGATAAAAGATTTTTTTCAGCACCACCTGAGCTATGGTGTGGCACACATTTCCTGCCATGAAACAGAAGCAATACTTCCCCTAACAGCAAGGACCAGGGTGCAAACCCCCGAGGTAACTGGTGTTTTCCTCTCCTCTGGGTGGCTGAAGTCTCTAGATAAAAAAAATTAATAAAAACGAAAACAAAACACACCCAGTTGAAGATAGAAACCTACTGCTGTTGAAGTAGGAGGGTGGGGGGGAAATTGCTACACTGTTAAAATATTTCGGTGCACTAAAATATAGGGATGAGGCAGACACGTGGAAGATTAATGACTCAGGCCTGACACAGTGATTGTGCAAGTATGGGGAGGAAGTCAGATTTAGGTCTTAGCCATGAAAGGATGTTCCCTTTTCACCATTGGCTTTCTTTGTCTCTTCTGCTCTTCACTTAGGAAACTGAAACTGCCTTGTTCCATTTAATTTTTTATTTCTAATCTGTTTCCCATCCCATCCATCTTTCACAGGAAAAATTACATTACAGAGCAATTGCTAACTGAAGGAAGCGTTCTGGTTCAGCTATTTCTTTTCTAAACTTGAGTCTAGAACAAGTATTATTTTTCAGCTTACACTCTCACTGACTCCACTGGAAGTCACTGTGTAATTTCTCATAAGTGAACAGCTATGAGTTGTGGGTCACTTCAGTAGGCTTATGTCATCATTTAATTTAATGGGCTTGAATTGCATATTGCAGCAGATGACTGGAAGCTAATACTGAAACCCAGGGTGCAATTACATATCACCAATTATCTTACCAGCTGTTTGTTGAAGTTCTGCACACACTGTTCAAACTGCTCATCTTTTGTTTCATCTGCTTTACCAAGCTTCTGAAGGACCTGTAAGAAGAGAGAAGATATGGAACTTCAAACTCAGACACAGCAAAGCAGAGACAAAGAAACAATTGCAGGTTTTTGCTCCTGAGGCTGACAGAAGGAAAGTTAAAAAGTCCCCCTTATTGTTGCACTCAGAATTTCTGGAACATTTTTCCACATTGTCATAGTTTGAAAACAGATTTACAGATGAGTCAGGAAGAACTCAAACCTCTTATTCTCTGCTGTATGTACTGAAGAGCATGACTGAGGCTCGTGCTTCACTCGTCTAATGCTTTTTGCAGACAAGACAACTGCAATCCAGTTGTTTATCTCCTGATCCAGCAAGAAACCAACTACATCCCTAAAATGCCTTGTCTTGTGCGGTTACACTTATCCTGATTTAACACTAGTCTCTGGTCCAGACAGGGTGGGGTTTTGCTCCCAGAACAACTGGAGTGCCCTCAAACACAGAAAACTGCATAGAGATCTCCTCAGAGAGAGAAGGTGGCTGGAGCAGTGGAAGTCCCGACTTCTTTCCACCTTTCTCACTAGGCACATGCTTGACAGGAGCTGGCTGCTGAGAGCAACTGGGACCTTACACCATGAATCTATGTGACACTCAGTTTAAGTGTCACATCAGAGTGTCAGCAGCCAGTCTTGCTCCTTTCACCACCTCCCTGCTAAGCACAGCTCCCCACAGCCTAAAAAAAATCCTTATCGGACTCCTTCTCTTATCACCCTTCTCTCTTAATCCCCTCTCCAGGGGGTTAAGTGGATCACTCCGAAGCTTTGAACAAAAAAGCACTTCATATTCTGAGCAGGCAGGTAGGTCCATCACAAAAAAGGCTCAGCAAACCCTAACTGTGGAAGAGGGCAGCAGCTCTTTGTCATGCCCCAAGCAACTCCAGCTGCAAGGATACTGAGATGTAAACTATAACTGGTTAAGATCAATTACATCATCTTTGTTAATAAAAAATAAAACATGACCATGCAAAAAAAAAAAAAAAAAAAACAAACCAACCAACCAAACAAACAAAAAGGCACCTTGTCTCACAGGGCCAGTAAAAGCAGAGAAAAGCCCACCTAGTCCTCAGTCACAGGAGGTTTTGGGGGAAAGGGTACTGAGGGAGCACCTCAAAATAGCCCTGCTGGAAAGGGCATGACTGCCATAGAGACAGAAAGCACTGGAAAGCTGCAGTCTCTTTCTCTGCTGAGCACACCAATAGCAATCCTTTACTCACAAACCCCAGCCATCATGTTCAGCTTCTTTTGGGAAGAAGGAGATTAAGATTGAAAAAGCAAATGCCTGTCACTGACATCAGGTCTACAGGTAGGCCACTATTAAGTGCCCCCAGAAGAGCCACTCTGAGGAATTGCCAGGTAACATGACAGCAACCCAAACCAACTTCTCCATTTGCCTTTGCTACCTGTGGATCTTCGCAGAAAACATAAAGAGAATTTTTCCCCTGCAGGGCAGAGATCAGACTTTCATGATTGGTCCCCAAAGTGGAATTGAAAAGGACTATGCAATAGGATGTAGAACAGAATATTTTCTGTTTGAAGGGACCTACAACAATCATCTAGTCCAAGTGCCAATGACCCACTCTCATCTTTTTATACTGTTGAGGTGGAGGACATCTGTTACATCTACTTGGCTAATCTCAGTTCCCCTCTCCTCCATATAAGAACAAATATTCCCATCCCACAATAACTGACTTCAGTGCTAGACATGATAAATCATTGAAGTCATTCGGCACCCACCTCCTAAATCCCCGTATTTAGGATGGGATTAAATGTTTAGGAGAGAATCACTGTTTTTCATTCTCTCTCTGTTCAACAGCTTCTTGGTGCCTCCAAGAATTGCTGAGGTATTCTGGTGTCAGCAAAAGTAGGGGAAAGGACAGATAGAAGAAGATTGCCCTCTTTGTGACCAAGAGCTGAATTAAAAACCTCCAGAATTATAAGCACAACTTTCCATAGCTTAAGTGACAGCAACAAACACTGCAGCTACAAGCACCTAATGTGCTCGGTAAACCTGTCTATGCAGCAGGACATAGACACCATAAATATTCCTTTATTCCTCTCAAAGCCTTGGCACATAAGAGTTTGCTGGAGAGGAAAGAAGCAGCATTGATTGAACTGGCAGAGTCCTGTACACCAGACACTGGTGTCTCCTGTGTTCATCCAATCCAGCAAAGGGGAGCACATCCCACAGCAACACTTCTGCTGAGGCTGCACATTTCTCTCCCATGCCAGCAAGAGAGAAGGATTCCGTATGGCCTCGTCTTTCCCATCAGGTGGTATTAGGAACCTCTTCCAGAAAGAATGTTGCTTAAAAGCCCTGTGTTCAGCTCTACTCCCCCAGGCTACCAGATGTATGGAGCAGGGATTTCCCACCTGCTGGGTGACTTTCTAGATATCCAAAGAGCCAGCATACCAATAGCACCCACCACCAATAACAATACAATAGGCAAATTGTAAACTCCAAAGCAGAATGATGTTCCCAATGTGCAGATCAATAGAATTACTGGGCATTTAAAGAAGCTTTTTATGGGGCAAAGCATCTGCCTGGCTAATCAGGAGATGTGATGCTTTCAGGCCTGGAGAGGAGGAAAGGAGACCATTTAACTGGGAGGAATCTGGAGTATGCCACTAGGGTCAAAGGTTTAGAACAGTCTCAGAGCTTCCTGGTGTAAAACACAGAGCAGCACTCAAAGACTATTCATTGCAGCTTCCCACGTGTCCAATGAGTTAATCTGCAATTCCATTGCCCCCTGGGGGACATGCACACTGAATCTGGGGTTATCTGGCCAGCTGGGAAGATCTTGTTCCACTGTGCTGAGGTGCTCTGCACAATTCCTGAAAAACGCTGGGCACTGGAAAGGGCTCTAACTCACAGCCTATCTCTAAGGAAAAAGCTCCTGCTGCAAAGTGATGCTCAGCTGAGGAGCAGCTTTGAATGAGGAGAAAGTACACAAGAAGAAACCCTGCATGATTTCACACTGACAAGGGGAGGGTAAAAGAGAGGATTCGGTGATGTCAGCAGAGGAACAAGTCAAGAAAAACAAAACCGGTTACAACAGAGAGGCTGTGAGAAGTGAATCCCTGGCTACACAAAAAAACAAACTGTTCTTGCTTCCTACACTATTCCCCATCTGGTAGATGAAGTCTTGTGCCCTATACCTCCTGGTCCTATAGGCGAGTCCCAGCCATACAGCCCCCTGACCCCTTTACCTGCTATGACACAGCAGAGACACAACAGCCCTGGGCTGCAGCAGGGCAGGGGTTATCTTCTCATAATGCTCTCCCTCAAAACTAGATCTGCCCCACACAAACAGCCCAGAGGTCAAACCCTAAGTCATCTGAGCAGCATAAAATGATGGCGCCACAGTGCTGCATCCCCCCAAGCCTACTCCCAGCTCTCCCATCAGAGAGCTGTCCTGGCAAGTCAAACTAACAAATCCCTCTGGACTCACTGAACCAGCCAGGGATGGAGCAGATGGCCCTGGGTGTGCTGCTGACTGCAGACATGTCTGTGCTCACTGCTAATAACCCGTGAGCTCACAGGACAACTCCCCTCCCCAGGCTGGTACGTGCCGTCATAGGTCAGGCTATTCCGGGTGAGCCACGGCTGCTCCCTCCTCTCCCCTGCGACAGTTTTTAATCCTCCAGCTCACTGCAAAGCCAGATAAAGTTCGCATGGAAACTTCAGGCTCTTTGATAGCTATTAATGGAGCAGATTTACCAGGGTAGGAGACAGGAGTCCACTGCAGCTCCCAAATCTCAGGGCAGATCAGAGATGGTGTGATCTGTCAGCTGCTGTCTGGAGGCAAACCACACCAAGCAGCCAGCATGGATGTGGCATTTAAAAGATTAAGCAGCAACCATGGCTGGGCTCCTTTGTCTGCCCTTGACCTGAGAAGTTCCTGGCCCTGAATAAGGATAGGGACCATTTCAAGATGGTGCAAGCCTTCCCAAGGAGGGAACACTTTGTATGAATCTCACAAAAAACCTTGTGGAATGGATTTCAGAGGGGGCTCTAGCTGTGTGTTTCAGTCTTGCTTCACTATGGTTTCACTATGACAGGATGGGGCTGTCTCCCCAGTCAGTGTTTTTGGCCTCAGGCACCAGACATCATTTCCAGTGTTGCTCAGAAATCAGGTCTCTTCTAACAATTATAGCTAGACCTGCAGATGCTCTGCATTTCTCATAAACTAAGACCAATAGGCACAGGCCAGCTACTGCAGCATCTCCAGAGCCAAATTCCACCATGGAGACTCAGTTTTCCCCACATTTGAATAAAATCAATGAGGACACTCAGAGTTTGACTGAAGCTTTTTTCAAAAGCAGCTAAAGATCCTAGAAGGCAAGATGCTATTAAGAGATAAGGAAATTATCACTTTCCTCTCATATCACTGATTACTTTGTAATCTGTTGTTGTGGGCAGAACTACTTTCAGTAAGCTTGGATTGCTATACTTTGAGAAGTAACAGAGAAGAAGAGAAAGGGAAATATGGAAATCCTCATACCAGAGACGTGGCCTTTTGCTAGCCATGGTCAGAGAAGTAAAGGCATGACATAGCCTTTAAAAGCAGCAGCTCTTCCCAGAAAAATGGAAAAGTTGCTTTGGAATTTGCAAAAAGTTTGCAACCAAGTTGCAGGTTCTCTTCAGAGGTAAGACCATTAGATTCATAGGATGCTTGAGCACTACCTAAATACCACAGCTTTGTAGGACTCAAAAGGAAGCATCTTATCTGGCTGTCTACAGGAGGAAACATTCCTGAAGGACAAACCCACACAATGATTAGCATAGGGCCTCCAGTGCTTTGCTTTGAGCACTGGGCATGAGGACAATGGAGATCTGGAGATTAGCCCTGTGACCACCAAAGTGACTGATGTAGAGCACAACACTTGCTGGCAGTGAATCATCAAGAAGCATCAGACTAAAATGCACCTCTGCTTTGCTCAAAAAAGCAACTGTAACAGTTTCATATTTATGCTTTCTAATAAGGAAATATATACCA